TCGAATCCCTTGATTTTCAGCCTTCTTTTCCCTTAAAACAGCTGCCTGTCGCGATACCCGGTCGAAATACCCGGTCGGGTATTTTGGGTCACGACCGGGTATAGTTAAAACGCACGTTTTGGCCAGGGGAAAAATACCCGGTCTCATCCAATAATCCCCGGTCGGGAATTTCTGCCTTCCAGACCGGGACTCCCCCTGTTTCTCAGACGCCAAAATGGAAAATCCCCGGTCTCCTCAGAATAATACCCGGCCGGGTATTTGTGGTCATGGCCGGGTATTTTCTTCCTCCAGCCCGCTTCAAGCCTCACTTGCTCCTTTCGACCCGAATCTCGTTCCTTCGCCTCGATTCCAACGCCGGGTCCTGAAATACGACATAAACACACAACCTCGCGTGAAATCGGCTTAAAACCCAAGAGTCAACCTCTCAAACGGCTCAAGAATAGGGGCAAAAATATGTGTAATTATCGGTCTATCACTATACTTTTTGTGCAAATTCTTTTACGGTACAACTTGAACTTGTACCTTTATGTGATGGTACAACTTCAAGTTGTAAAGTTGTACAATAACATAATGGTACAAATTGTTTTATGGTACAACCAAAAGTTATACATTTAATGTTATGGTACAACTTTGAGTTGTACATTAAAGCACCAATGCTATATAACATAGTAGAAGTGCTCCCAGAACGAGGGAGTAAGACAAAACAAAGACATCAAAAGATTTGAAGGCAAGAATAATGAGGATGCTTGACAAAAGTTTAAAAAATGACTAGACTGATCCCACGTGTGCGTAATTTGGTAATTAATCAATTGAACAACCCTACAAACACTCTGAGTCCAAAAGATAGAGGGAACATGAGACGCCAAAAGGAGAGCTCGAGTTACCCCTAACACGTGGCAATTTTTACATTATAGAAATCCATTTTATTAAGAAATACTGGGACATGACTTTGAATGAGGAAGCCAAGGGATTTATAGAGGTTAGAAGAGGAAGTGAACTAAACTCTCAACCTCGATCAGAATGGACAACAAGGATGGTTTTATCAAATTGAGTCTTACTCATTTGCAAAACTTCAGTGGCAATGGACAAGAGAATATATTTAAGGCGCATAAAATAAACTCATGTATATCTAGTAGCATGATTAACAAACAACGCAAAATACATGTAACCATGACGAGATGTGACTAGACTGGGCCCCAAATATATGTTTGGATTAAGTGAAAGGCTCAGTGATTTTATTAGTACTGGAGGGAAGGGAAATACGATTAGTTTTTGACTTCCACACAGTTTTGACAAGAAAAATATGATAAATGATCAAATTTAGAGTTTTGACCAAATAACTATTGACGAAGCATGGTTACAAGCCTACTACAATTGGGATGGCCCAAACGGCTTTCTGATCACTAAGACTCGAGTAAGCAAGAAAGAAAGGTACCTTGGATACCAAGCAAGAATCCGATAACAGCAATGACAGGCGAGATGAAGACGACGTGATGAGCTCATCCAACAGAAAAATGCTTCCTACATCTCCCGAGCTCCTTCCCCTTCTTCAGGTCCTACACAACACATCCAAAAGGTGCATAAATAACCCGACAATCTTATTTAGTAAGCTGACCAACAAAAACTAAATCAGGAACCAATTTAGGAACGTGGAATGTTGCCTGTAAATCAATACGAGAATCCTTTATTGAACCAATACCAAAAATTTTAAGCCTCTCGCCATTTGCCTCTTGTAAATACAAATTATCCATATGATGCATATTCTTAATTGCATAAACATCACTAGTCATATGATTGAAGCATGTTGAATTGATAACCCATTTGGGAAACTTATCCGAGATTCGAAGACTGACAAGCACAGAGGTTATAGCCTTTTTAACAAGTTCCTCGAGTGCAGCATGCATAACCACCACACCATCCGAACCAGCAGCTACATTCGTGGCACACAGTGAGTAAGACTTAGGGCTGCGAGCCGTTGTTGTTGCCTCCATAGCCACTCCCATACTGCGAGCCGTTGTTGTTGCCTTTATAGCCGCTAGCCATTTCCATATTATTGTTGACATAGATGTTGTTTTCATTCATTCTTTCTTGAAAAAGTCCACAATCTGTAATTATATGACCACGTTTCTTACAATAAACACAAAATTTTAGGTTACGACACTATTTTTTCGTATGGCCCTTCTTTCAGTAGTGGTGACAATTGATGTCGGATGAGGGACAACGTTGAGGAGTTTGTTGAAATGACGCAAAGGCCCGCTGTTCAGAAATGTCCTTTGTGTTTTTTCTCCTCCAACAACAATCAAATAGGGATTTGGGAGACGACTCTCAACATGAGCTGGTCGGACCATATTCGCAGCACCTGCCGGGAGGGCACTGAAATTTTCTGCATCACATCGACCTAGATGAACATCGAGCACCGCACTGAAATTTTTTCCTTCTATCGTAACTCTTTGATTTACATGCCTAAAATATACATCGAGTTTGTTTTTGTACCATTTCACACCTTGTGGTGTTATTTTGTGCATTTCAATGATATAATTCAATCAAGAGGAATATGGATAATCAATTGATCAGAAAGAGGACGAGAATACAAGTTCATGGGCTTAAACAAAGATGGATTTGGATATTGGATGTTCATTTGATGGCCCAAAGACCCACTTTTGTGAAAGCTTACGGATCAAGCGAAGTTCGAATGAGTTAAAATTTGAGGAGGAGCCCAATAAACTCAAGGTGAATTTCTCCAAAAAGAAGCACCCAATTGGATGACAGAGCTTCTTGTAGATGTTTTCATCATCAATAGTGGTATCATCAATCTCCTCTATGTCTGGCCTAAGTTTGTATTGTTCATAGATGTGAATTCTTTGATGCTACATGCATCTACTTTCTATAATTTAATGAGATGCTTGGTCGTTAGATGCTTTTATTAATGAATGCCTATATCATTAGATGCTTTAGTCATGTGATGCTTATACCATTCTATGATTTAGTTTTTTTAAGGGTAATGCCTATTTTTTATCCAAACATTTTTCAGATTCTTATATATTATCCAAACCTATTAAAATGCTATTAATTAGCCAAATCTTCCGTAATGAATCAAAATATTAGCCATTTTTACGTTATCGATAATAATTTTGTAACTCTTTTCCTAGTTAAAATACTAAAATTTTGGAATGTTGACCTTCATGTGTCTCTTCCAAATCAGTATCATGTTGTCAAGTCAATATTACTAACAAAACTGTTAACTGAAAGTTAACATTTGACTAATTTCTAGTATTTTGATAGGTTTGGTTAATAAAAAAGAATTCCAAAAAGGTTTGGATAAAATATAGACATTACACTTTTTTATGTCTTAATCATTCTTATATCATCTATCATCTGCTACTATGGTATTGCTTATAATAACATCATTATAGGTTGTGCATGAAATTATTCTTTATTTTATGCAATTATGTTTAGTTGATGACACGATTATGTGTGTTTGTATTTGATCAATGCTTGATACTTGGATCAACAATTCTATATACCATTGCTATGATTCATAGATGCCCTAAATAGTCAATATGCTATCCTTATTGTATTTCCTCACGTACGTGGTGAAAACTCAGTTTAGAATGCTCTAATGGAAGGGATAGAGTCAGGGGCGGACCTAGGGGTGTTTAAGGGTGTCCCCGGACACCACTAAATTTTGGGAAAACGATTATCCAACCCCCGATAGTAATTTACGTATTGACAAAAAAATTATAATTGATAGTCGGGGACACCCCTAAATTTAAAAAAAGTTATTATCCTACTCTTATCTTTTAGTTTGAGTATGAGAATATAAGTCGTAGTTTGGGTAATTCAAACCTAGGACACTTTATTATTAATAAACATAATTTTCATTAGGCTACAACTCATATGTTGTTCGATTTTAAACACTGTGTAATAGTATAATGTCATTCTCTATCTCTAATTATTTTCAAAATCTAACAATTAAACAAATTTCAAGCTACCCTTAATTTGTATTGATTTATGGTTGTACAACAAGTATTGAAAGAGTCTTTTCAGCTTTGGATTACAACAAGAACAAGTTTAGAAATTGAATATGTGATCAATTCGTGAATGATTGTCTAATATGATATACAGAGACAATTTTTTTTGAATAGTGTAGACCCCAAATGTGTTCTACAATCATTTTTTAATATAAAAAGTAAAAACACATTGTGAATTTTTTCAAACTGCATGAGTAAAGTATTTCTTATTTAAATATTATTTATTAATTATTAATTATTTATAATTATTTGTATTTAATTTATTTTTTAAAAGAGGACACCCCTATGTAAAATTTCTGGGTCCGCCACTGGATAGAGTAACATAATGAGTACTTCTACTATGCTATATAGCATTGGTGCTTTAATGTACAACTCAAAGTTGTACCATAACATTAAATGTATAAGTTTAGGTTGTACCATAAAGCAATTTGTACCATTATGTTATGGTACAACTTTACAACTTGAAGTTGTACCATCACATAAAGGTACAAGTTCAGTTTGTACAAAAAGTATAGGTACAATCTGAAGTTGTACCATAACGTAAATGTACAATTTTAAGTTGTACCATAAAGACCAAAACCTATAGCACCAATATCATTGTAAAATTTCTCGTAACATACTATGCATGATCATGATGAAACTATCTAAACAATAGTTTTTTCATTGCTTTCTTTTTTTATTGAGGAAACAAAACCTGCAGTTAGCCCCAATACAGAGCATACAAGTTTACAACAGGGAAACAGTTTATTTCTGTTTCAAATCTTCCTATTTCAGGATAACGAGATTAACTACATTCATGACCCAGATTATTGCATCAGATAAACATGCAGCAATATAAACGGCAACACTAATAACATTGGAGAAGGTATGTTTCTCATCAAGCCTAAACGCTCTACAATGCTAGCTACAAAACTGGGACATAAATGGAATGATGTTTCCACTCTAGCTATTCTCCAATCCAAGGGGGTACTAGTGTGGTTTTGGTACAAAGCCATCAACAGCGAAATTCCGAGTGGCAGCAGGAATAGCTAGTCGCACCCCATCAAGCTCAGGACTTGCAATCACTTGACAACCCAGTCGAGAACTACAAATATCAAAACAGAATCCAAGATGAAATTAGTAAAAATTGTTTCCTATCCAGACGAATCCAAGTTGCCCTGTACTATCTGCAAGGGTACTCACGTCTCTGTTAGCCCAAAGGCCAAATCCAGCATATCGTTCTCCTCGTCTGTTGGGTCCTCCAATTTGTTGTAATAGTCAACATCCTGACAATGATGCAACAAACAGTTAGGAAGTTCGCTACTCAATAATTACCAAGTAATAGTTGAAGGCTCAAACAAACAAACCATCACAATAACGTGACACGTCGAACAGGCAAGCGAGCCTTCACATGCTCCTGAAGATAACACGAGAATAAAAGTTAGTTCCACATGTTGTGGAAAAATAAATACCCCATGAGCACAAAGAATGAGGAGAAAGTCAGTAGAATCATCCTTGCCTTCTAATTCTATATCGTGCTCATGAGCAGCTTCCAACATGGACATTCCCACTGGGACCTTAATCTGTTTTTCCTCCCCATCCTTGTCTACAAAAGTTACAGATATCCTGCAGATGTTAAGCTGCTGTCAGGGGAAATAGCAGAAGCAGTAGCATCAATAAATACAATTTTAGAGTGCTATATAATTTACATCTGCATGGTTGAAAGTTTCATATCCCAAACTTAGGATAACCCACTTAGGGAAGTCTCAAATTAACCAATGTTGTAATTGTATAAGAACTGACACTCAGAACACTTAATACAAAGCACACAAAAAGTCCCTAACCCATCTTGATTCATAAGTGAGAAGATGTGTAGCCAATGGTCACAAATGTCGAGCCATGAATAGTTAATAACTTGTGATTACATCACATCCCAGGGTATATTAGTATTAAGTATTAACCCTATTGCACACACAATTGCTTACGATTGCTTCTCTTGACTTCCATTTGAAGATTCGCCACTAGAACCTTCGGTGGAAAAGTAATGATGCCTCTGAAAAACGAAAGCCACGTACAGCTTACCTTGATGTGATTGAAGCTGCTCCACAAAAGTAAACAGCCAAAAAATTTCAAGTTAGAATAATTGAACACATCTCCCTGATAACACACTGCCACGAAGAAGACTCCCAAAACCTTCGCCCATAGAATCGTGAATAACACAACAATGGTAGTTCCCCTCGACACCAGAAATGATATTCACAAAGCTTTCCACTATAGATTGATAGATTCCCATGTAGTGTGTGTGATGACACAGTAAGGCAACAAAAGATTATTCCCCTTGCTAATTGACAAAAAAAAAAAAAAAAAATTGAATTGAACACCTATATACTATACTACTAGGTCCTGACTCAAGTTTAAAAATTGATGCTGTAAATGTCACAACGCGTCCAGAACCAATCTAAATGAAAACCGGAACAGCAGGAACAACAGTAAATATACTCACCTGAGGTTGCAAGTAATGACCGTAAGACCTTGGTACTGATACTGTTCTACATGAGGGTATGCATCTTCCTGTGAATAAGAGAAAAGACAAAGAAAAAAGAGGTTCCCAGTAAACAATTGATCATGACAGAAATGTACACTAAATTACGTGAGGCAGAGGACTTTTCCTGGTTACCCGCAAAGCTAACAGGAAAAATATTATAGCCCATACCTCGTGAGAGAATTCTAGACGCTCCAAGTCCAACTCGAGAAAGCCTAGAAAGTAACATGCTTGTTGATGCAGCAGCTTATGAAAATCTGTCATTAACAACAATTTGAAGATGTTTTAGCAGACGAAAATAATATCCCAACAGCGTAGGAAAAAAGAAGGCCTCGACCCTTCAGATTCAACATATAGTCAGGGTTGCTGGTATTATTCTCATATCTTGACAACCTATTCTAACTAATGAAAAGAACAAGTTGAGACCAATTAGACCCTCATCTTTTTTGTTTTATTCTGGGCCTGAGAACAAGAGAAACTCAGGAGCAGTGTGTTTGAGCAAATGTGTCAAGACTCAAGAGACATCATTGACATGCTCTGGTCGTCAAATGGGAAAGTCGCCATATCTGATACCTATTAAATATCATATTCACTTTAGAATCCAAAAGCTCCTAAATCCAGCTTCAGATAGTTGGCCTTGTGTGATAGTATCCACGCACGAGGGCAAATTGTAACCCAAACTAAGAAAGCACTAGTTTTTACTTAGCTCGTTCAACTAATCTACAAGCCAAATGAAGCTTCCACTCTCTCCACTTCCAGAGAGCCCGTCAGTGATAACACATATAGCTTACAACTACTTCAGAGCCATCATCAACCAATACAGGCAGAGCAGTAAACAAGAGGGGAAAGTAAGAAACCTGATAGTGAGGTGAAACAAGATAAACTAATGCCGCAAGTTATTGGAATTGGGAAATCACCAGTGCTGCTCTGGACTCCAACTTTCCTTTGCGAACAGAAGCCGAAATCAATTCCTCTGTTCCATAAACACGTCGTCTGCAAATTAGCTCGGAACTATCAATAAATCAAACAAGAATAGGAGAGCATCGCAACCTCTCATGGCGGCGAAACATCCTTCACCATGTATTGCGTTTCAAACATCAGGCCGCTGTCCAATCGACACAGAATTAACGGAGGGCAGAAGAGGCGTACCTGAAGTAGAAACGGACACAAATATCGCCTACGAATTGGCAGGAAGATCAGTGCGTCCTTCCCCGCTGGCATGAATCCATGAAATTTGATTGTTTCTTTGGGGTTTATGGTGTTCTTCGCTATGAATTGGGGGGGTGAAGGTAGAGGAAGCTAAGCTAGCCAGCTAGGGTTCGAGCCACCAATTGACGTTCAGCAACATTGACAGCGCATCCGCCGTTAAACGTCAATCTCCGGCGCCGAACTTCAGACCCCGAAGGTTTTGATATTAGTTAGTGAGTTTAAAGCTTGTGAACTTTTGCGATTTGCTGCGAAGCCCAACGTCGGGCTAGGGCCCAATTGTGTATCCACGAGAGAGAACTAATGGTTCCTGCTTGCGTTGTCCGGAGGAAGAAAAGCCCAATACTGCCTATAAGGTTCGCTTTCGTTTGGGCTGATAAATCAACCTTCTTGATTTCAACATGGCCAGTGGCGGAGCACCTTAAGCCAATGGAGGCTATAGCTCCATAACGTTACATGTAAATTTAGTAATAAATTTGAGAAATATAGTAATTGGCACGATTTTAGTTGTCCCGCTAATTTAAATTCTATGAAATTGTAATTTTAGTCTCCTCATTTACATTTCTGACTCCGCCGTTAAACATTGCCCAAGGAGTACTGAAGGGTGATCAAAAGAGGATGCCCTCCATAGCGTGATCCAAATACCACATATTTTATATACAGTTAGTTATATTTCCACGACAATAAGCTGGAAATAGTTTGCACAAGGTTTAGGTAACTTAACATAACGAGGGAGCGCAAATCAAAGAAGTTTGCAAGGTCCGCCGCCACAAGTAAAACTTTAGGGTTGAGAAAAATTAAGGGTTAGGTAAAATATGCCCTCTACTATGACGATTTATCAAACATGCCTCTCATCTATTTTTTACGTCAAACATGCCTTTGTACTTTGAAAAATTATTAAACATGTGTTTCGAACATTCTTGAGTTTTATACATTAATTAATAATGTGTGCACCACAAAAATGAGGAGAACCAGATCCAAGATAAGATCTTGCATTATCAAGAAATCAGAGAGAATAGAAACATTGGTAGCTGTTAGTTTGTCACGAATCCAGAAGAAGATGTCTAAACGAAAATGATAATAAGAACAGATTAGCAGGTTGGTTATTTAATTTTAATATAATGTTGAGGAGGGGGAAGTCTAATTCAACCTAATAATATTTAATGGCTCAAATCATGCCACATGTGAGTAATATAAAAAGCCCTAGTAATTCTACCGATAAATCAACTCGGTTAGTTACATGTTAGGCATCCACACTCAACAAATCTAAGTTAAAATATTAACAATACTGTTGTTGTTGATTATAGAACCCTCACAACCACATCATTCATGTACCTGTTCATGTTACATGCAGAAACTTTTAGATCATTAACCCTCGTTCGAACATTGTTCGGAGAGGATGAACCGTGTTTAGAATCGTTGTTCAAGAAGTCAAAAGTGCATTTATTGAATTCAAACACAAGTTTTTCCTCGCCGGAAAACAAATACATACGGATATCTTATTTAAATTGTAAACAAACTACATGTCTAATAATATGTTAATCTGTCATAAATATATAAATAGGTATTGTAAAAAAAAAAATCGGTGCTATATATATGGCAGTCTCAAATAAGTGTTTGGCTAATTGTTTGACAAAAAATGTTTCACCAAAAAATTCAAATTATGTAATAGTGTAGATGGGAATTTGTCCTTCGCACTAAGGATGACCAAAAAAAAAATCCACTATATTTGGACATTACTCAAAGCCAACTTATTATGATGGAAATTAGTTTTATGTAGTTTTAATTTTGAGGTAAATTCATAGTATTGAGTGGGCCAAAAGAAAATGAATACTTAATTCTAATACAATGTTTGCAAATATTTTGTTATGAAACAAAGAGAAAGGTGGGAACACCTACATTAAAAGTGTAATTTGGTTGAAGCGCCGGAGTCAATAAGATGATTGATATTGTCTTTATGTGTGTACAATTATCAGGATCCAAATAGATCCATTTGGGTCTAAGCAAAATGAGTTAGATCCAAATTGGACACATTTCATACCCCAACTCAAACTCAAAACCACCAAAGCACGTATTGCCAATTTGGATCCGATACGATACCTATTTGGATCATGACAATTAGGTCAAATTAACCAATAAATCAAGTAATTTTCATGCCTAAATATTCCTCCGGATTATGTTAACTTGGGAAGGGAATTAACTCATTTTAGAATGATTTATGGATGTGACCAAACATGGCTAAGTAGTGACAATCAAATATATCAGTTGTTGATGAAGATTGTGCTAGTGCTACATCTCAACCGCCGGGAGATATATTAGATGCTGAAATATCAATGCATAATAGCCACTCTTACACACACAAACAACAAAAAAAAATGAAGAAAAATAAAATTCTCATCAATTTTTCCTACCGAATGATTTAATGTGTCTCCTTAATCACGCTATTCTATATATTCTCATAGCATATATTATTACTAATCCGAACCAAGCAAATTGGCAGAACAAATTATGCGTAAATATCAAACTCTAGCTACTAATAGTTTTTCTGTTTTGATACTTAATTACCACTAATTATGAGGCAATCCATTGTTAAGTAGACAGTATGGAGGGCCTAATTAAAGTAAGCATGGGATTGCACTTATAATTATTTTCCGGCAATCCATCTACCTAACCGATTTGGATCCTATCTTGGGACGAGGAGGCTTCCTAGTTGCAGAGGAAAACTTGTTGGCTTAATTAACCTGCACGGGCAGGTTACTAAGCAGTACAAACGTAATATTCATACAAATTCACTTATATTAACGTGTAATCTATTTTCTCAGATTATCTACAAATAAGGGGTGCCAATTGTTTTGTTGTTACCTGATTGTCAGATTATCTACAAATCATTCTATTACAATAATTTAAATTGTTGGAAGATATTTAAGAATGGATCTAATGCCATTGCGCGGAAAAAAAAAATCAATGATTACATTTAAAGTTCAGATATATCCATAATACAATATAATTAAATCAACTGTTAATATTAATGGTCATAAACTTTCAAACATGGTAGCTCTCGATTAGAGGTACCAACCAACCGCATGATTCATAAGATGTACTGCTGAATGCTGATCGTTTATGACCAGAGGCAGAAGTGCTTCTAGAAAAATAGCTCGATAGAGAAGGAGCTTCTAGAAGGGTTACATGCAAACTGTACTTTCCCTTTCATGCAAAAATGTACTCTCTCTCTCTCACACACTCTCAATATTCAACAATGCGTTGAACTTGCCTTGTCAATTCAATATTTGTCTCTATGGTTCTTTAAATTACTGTGTATTAATTCATTCTTGGGTTTCTATATACTGAAGTTGCTTATATGTTTGCTTAATTAGGACGTTTCCTAATATATATATATTGTCTTATAAAAATATATATATATATATTTTGTGCTTAATTATATATATGCATTCGGGAATCGAGACAAGAAAATGTTTAACTAATCAAAAGTACGAAGGTAATACTTCTCAATTAGCGAGTTTAAACTTGCATGACAACATTAATCCAATCGTCTAGCTGGCCTAACACCAAATCAAACTTGATGAAGCGGAATGTTATAACCGGGCTGCTCAATTAATATGATATTGTCCGTTTTGGGCCAAATTCGTACGGATTTACTCTTGGGTGTCCTTCCCAAAAGGCCTCGTACTAATGAGCTTGGTGGACACTAATATACAAGGGTTCCTTCCCTTGTATTACTGATGTGGTACTTGGATTGTCCCATAACAATCCTCCCCTCAAGCCAAGGACCACGAACTTTGTGTCCTCTCCTAAGCGATTATTTTGATTCGCCAAACACTTTGTATCGATGGGCTTCTCGTTACAAGGAATTTTATCAAATGTAGAACGTCTCTCTTTGATCTGCTAAACCAGATGTTAGCCCAGGCGCGGAACTCTCTTTGATCCGTCAAACAGACGCGGATCGCAAATCCTGAGGTCATCGAATGAGGGTCCACCAAACTAATGTCCACCGCCCCGAAGCGAACCAGACTCTGATACCACTTGTCATAACTGGGCTGCTCAAACGTAGATCTCTAATCCCGAGGTCCACCGAATGAGGGTTCACCAAACTGACGTCCACCGCCCCGAACTGAACCAGGCTCTGATACCACTTGTCATAACCGGGCTGCTCAATTAGTTAACAAAAATTGTCCACCAAACTGATGTCCACTTCCCCGAAGCGAACCAGGCTTTGATACAGCTTGTTAAACCGGGGTTGCTCCATTAGTACGATATTGTCCGTTTTGGGCCAAGCCCACACGGATTTACTCTTGGGTGTTCTCCCCAAAAGGCCTCGTACTAATGAGCTTGGTAGACACTAATATACAGGGGTTTCTTCCCTTGTATCACCGATGTGGTACTTGGATTGTCCTATAACAATCCTCCCCTCAAGCCAAGGACCACGAACTTTGTGTCCTCTCCTAAGCGATTATCTTGATCCGCCAAACACCTTGTATCGATGGGCTTCTCGTTACAAGGAATTTTACCAAATGCAGAACTCTCTTTGATCTGCTAAACCAGATGGTAGCCCAGATGCGGAACTCTCTTTGATCCGCCAAACATATGCGAATCCCGAGGCCACCGAATGAGGGTCCACCAAACTAACGTCCAACCCCCCTAATAATATAAATAATTTATAGATGTTATATATTTGTATTTATTGCCATATAGTTATAAAACTAGATAATTATTAATGGTGTTAGTCTATATAGCAATATAGTTGTAGAAAAAAATTCGATAATACAACGATGTGGAAAGTGGAAACCATGGATGCCCATACTCCCCGGGTAAGTCAGAAAGATTATTTGAAGTGGTTAAGGAAACAATTCATATATAGCTAAATGGTGCAGATGAGTAGTTTATTTTATTTGTAGGGTGAGCATAGGAGTGGGAGACATGAAGACTGAAAATATATCATAACAATTACTTCTGTTTAGTGAGTTCCATCGAACAATACAGCTGTTATATTGGTGGTATCTTATTATTATTATTTTTTTTTGGGTGAAAGTATCTTTCATCTCTTTACGCGGAAATATCATAACAAATTTATTTCATACATGCCCAAGCTTAGCTTATACCTAGTGCATCATATACATTTGCTTTCATACTTTATTAGATGCATTTTCATATGATTCGATGAATTATAATAACTGGTTATTAATTTTTAACTAAATTGATCTTATAATTTGTGTTTAAAAAATTAGATATTGAGATTCGCTCATTAAATATTATAATATAATATTATATTTCAAACTCCAGTTACTTTATAGTCTAAATAATGAAACTAACTAAACATACGATAAATTTTAGATAAGAGTAACTCTGATTTACTCTTCGAGTATTACTATATTCCAGATACTCGTAATTAGATTTCTCTATGAAGACCATGAATTAAACGAGTTTGGGGTATGATACTATATTTTAACCTCTAATGAATAAATCCTAGGCCCCAATTTTGTAAACCCCAATCCGAACTTCAATCTAATAGAACACTAAAATTAATCGTTAAGATTGGTCAAAATTTATCGACATACATCTAATTATCATATTAGTTAAAGTATACTATAGTAGTAACTATACACCTCAACCATACCAATCTTAGCCATATATATTCATACCAACCCGTCGAACAAGAATCCCTTCCGGACATTCCTGAGCTGAAAACAGACGCAAGTTATGGTGGATGAAATTTGTTTTGCTAGTTGGAATGATTTTTTTTCTTTTTTGGGTATCGATTGGAATGAATTCCAAAGTCTTGCTAGTTTATTCGAATTCAATTATTATGCCTAACTTGTTCAATTTGTTATCATGTCTCACAAATCTATTAAATTAATACAAATAAATACTAACTAATCCAGTGAGATTCTCGTCTAGTTTTTTTGTTCTTATATGATATTGGATCTTTCTTCCAGAAATTCTAATATTTTACAGGTATAGACACACAATTGGGAAGAAAAGGAATGATCAGTGGAGATGCAAAGTAAAATCATTTTCGAGTTTCAATTACGCAACTTCTCCATCCTGTATTTTTTTTTAAAAGATTATGATAGTCTTTCGCAGTAAATGTCCTATACGTACTTGTAAAACAAACGTGATAAGGTGATTTTCAAGTTTGATAAGTTTTTAGCAGACAAAACGCTTGATAATTTCGACAAGAACAATATAAATTAAGTTTGGCAATATACAATCGATAAAGATACACGCATATGAGTATGTGCACAAAGATGTGTTAAGAATCAGCTGATTTCAATAAGTTAAGGTTTTTTTTATAGAGAAGTTCGATAATAGATCATATACCATTTACTCACATTCCCTTCAAATGAAAGCCACTCATATAGACTTAACGTTTGCACAGGACTCCAGGTTAGAATCTCAGAAACGACACTCGTTTCCCTCCTCTTCCACCCCTCTAGTAGCACTCTTGTTATAACATGTTTCTGTCAGGGAAATAAAAGTTTTCATAGGTCCAGATTTCATGTGTTTAATTGAACAAATGAGAATTATGTGATTCGAACAAACGACCTCTCGATTACAAAAAGGCCCTATATTGTATCAATCTATTAGAAATCAGTTAATCTCAATAACTCAAATTTTGGTGAGATATTCAATTAATCGAATTAAGTTCCATATACATAGTTTGGTTGAATTTGGCAATAACTCTTAATCGAACCCAAGCTAGTTATGCAAGCAATACATAGTTGTAGTACTCAAAAGCGTTTAAGCAACATCGCCAAACCCAGCATGGCAGTACAACAAACCTCAGAAAAGGTACGACGATTTTAGTCCAAAAATTGCATTGCAAGAAACGAAAACAGAGTTGGCTAGCTTTAGGCTAATCAAACATGGAACTTGCTAATTACTTGTACAATAATAAAAAGACCCCGCCGCCGACCCAATTACACATAAAATTCCATGTCGCTCACCCTCCCCATCATCTTCTTACTTTGCATTTTAATTAATTGCATTATAAAACAACCACTAATTTCCTCAACTCCGACCTTAATTCCATAGGCTAATCATCATCACCGCAGGTTATAATTCGCTAGCGATAGCTTAATTAACCCTACTGGCCTCTGAGAGGAGATCAGAATATATATAATTCTCAACTACTACGGCCTCTCTCTCAGCACGACTGAGGGCCAAGGCGTTGAAATCGTGGGTGTCGATCGGTTGGAAGGTGTCTGTCTTATTTTATTTCTTCTCTTCTTCTTCTTCTTCTGCGGTAATGTAATGTAATACTTAGTCCTAACTAACAACCATTTTTTCTCTTTAATTAATTTTTTCTCTTATTCTTCTTCCTCCCGCCATCTCCATTGTTGTTCTTCCTTTGAAGCGTGTCACCATTCCTCACCGTTCACCTCCAAGCTACGGCTGTCCTGCCAGGGCTTCCATGGCCGTGCCAACCACCGCAAAACCCGCTACCTCGAGATAAGAGCCAGTAACGGAAAGAGCGAGAAACAAGGGAGAGGGGGAGAGATCCAGTGCGACGCAGCTGCACCAGAAGAGAAGAGAAAGAGAAAAGAAATGAGATCGTCGCCGTCCTTCGCGAGGAGCGGCTCCCAGCTCTCCAATTACAGCCACTCCTTCGACCTCCCCGACGACAATTACGAGGCCGGACCTGCAGGCAGCGACCGCGACGACCTCGACCTCGGCCACGGAGGAGCAATGCTGCCGGTTTTCCTCGACGACCTCCGGAGAAACGGCGGCGGTGGGGGCCAGCAGCGGCGGGAGGAGGAGCTGGTGGAGGTCACGCTGGAGCTGGACAGCGACTCCATCGTCGTCTGCAGCGTCACGCCTCCCTCCGCCGCCGCCACGCCGTCTTCCAATCACCACTACGGCGGCGGGAGCGAGGACGGAGGACGCAGTAGTACTCAGGGGAACAAGAGCCTGTGGAGGAGCTTGTCGGCGACTTCGAGGATCCGGCAAAAGTTCGCGTGGCTGAGGTCCGGATCGTCGCGGACGGCGGCGTCGGAGACCGACGGGGTCGCCATCACGGCGAGGGACGCGAGGAGGATACGGGCGAACCTCCAGCGGACGAAGTCGAGCGCGGAGCGGGCGCTGAAGGGGCTGCGGTTCATCAGCAAGGCGGGTGGCGCCGCCGAGGGAGGAGGAGGCGGCGGCGGCATCGACGTGGACCAGCTGTGGCGGCGGGTCGAGTCCCGGTTCGACTCGCTGGCCCGGGACGGGTTCCTGGCTAGGGAGGACTTCGGGGAATGCATAGGTACGCCCTTTCTACTTGGATTTGTGAGTTTCTCGATGAAAAATTGAGGAAGTAATTATAAGGAATAATTGACTGGGATTTTGAAATATGGATTGATCGGCGGCAGGGATGGTGGATTCGAAGGAATTCGCGGTGAGTATATTCGAGACGTTGGCGAGGAGGAAAGGGGAGAAGATGAGCAAGATAGATAAGGAAGAGCTGAGGGAGTTCTGGTTGCAGATTACGGACCAGAGCTTTGACGCCCGCCTTCAACTTTTCTTCGACATGTGAGTAAGCGATCGATCAGTTCTGGTTGTAAATAATTGTGTTTCGTGTACAAAATAATTTTGGGATGCGATTTAATAGCGTAAGAATGTTTTTTTTTTTTTTTGTATTCAGATTGATGATAGATTTGAAGCTAATATTATCCTTTTAATCTACTTAGCAACTAATATATGTGGAAACAAAGGATCACACGAATGATATAATTTGTGCAGGGCAGACAGCAACGACGATGGAAGGATCACAAGAGAAGAGGTCCAGGAGGTACCATTTCTCACTGATTTCCAAGAAAAATCAAATCAATCTTATTATTTGATGTTGAGATAACTCGACTTGTAAGGCTTAATTACGACTATATTGTACACTTATTAACTTAAATTGTGAACATGTACTTATGAAATAGCTTATAATGTTGAGCGCGTCGGCCAACAAGCTGTCGAAACTGAAGGAGCAAGCAGAAGAATATGCGTCATTGATAATGGAGGAGCTGGATCCTGAAAATCTTGGATACATTGAGGTAAGTAATAAATCAGTGTATATTATTAATTAATTAATTACCCACTCACTCTTCTTTATTGTGTATATTCATTTCTATTTATCATTTTTCGAGACAAATCTCTCTCTATCATAGCTAAATTCGAATTTGTTACTTCACAATATCCATGCCACTCCCCACATGTGTGGACTGGAGGGTTTTCCTTGCCCAAACTTTCCATTCCGTCTGTCACATTTCTTAGTTAAATTATTAAACAAATTCTTAAAACCGTTAGTTAGGTTTAAAAGTTCAACAGTTTTAGGTGGCGGACATTTTTTTACTTTAATCTAATACGATACCAAAACCCGATTCTGCTTCTAATTACTCTCCATCTATCTAGGTCTATAGTTGAAGACTTTTTACCCACACACACCTGTCACCAAACAATATACTACAAACTTGGGAATGGGGTAGGTTACGTGCAACCCAAGTTTCCGTTTGTTTCTGACCCAAGTCTTACCAGAAGTGGGATTCCATTATCCCAATATTCCTCAACTCCCTCGCCCACCCGCTTTCACGATCTCCAGCTCATTACTTAATTATTATTATATAATATGATCAATCCTTTTTAGTTTAATTATTACATTAGAATACATGCTGCATTATTGATGCTTCCGATCCAAATTTCCCGCTAATTACTTGTAAACCACTAAACCCCAGAAATGTGGGTACTTCTAATTCCGAATATATTTAATATTTACTCTCCTCGTATATTTTATTTAAAAACAAAAGTAAATGTTCCTGTTAATCACACCAGTCTCCAGCCGCAATTGATGATAATTGATACAATTTGGTTTGTTTTAAATTATTAAATGATGGGTAATTAGTAATTACTAATTACCATCCTCCTTTATGTTACTGTATCTAAGTGTTCTATTATTTCATACTCTGTTTTGGCTTCCGACCAGTTATGGCAGCTAGAAACACTTCTTCTGCGGAGAGACACGTACATGAACTACAGCAGGCCACTGAGCACAACAAGCGTCAATGGATGGAGCCAGAACCTGACCACATTCAGGCCGCACAACCTGGCCCGCAGGCTCACCTTCAAACTCAGGTGCCTCATCCTGGAGAACTGGCAGCGAGGCTGGATTCTGACCCTCTGGATGACGGCAATGGCCTGCCTCTTCGCTTGGAAGTTCTCCGTCTACAAAAACAAAGCCGCATATCAGGTGATGGGCAACTGCCTCGCCACGGCCAAAGGCGCCGCCGAGACTCTCAAGCTCAACATGGCTCTCATCCTCTTCCCCGTCTGTCGAAACACCATCACCTGGCTTCGCTCCACCAGGGCCAGGGCCGTCGTCCCTTTCGACGACAACATCAACTTCCACAAGATGATTGCGATTGCAATAGCCATCGGGGTCCTCGTTCACGGAGGCAGCCACTTAGGCTGCGACTTCCCTCGCCTGGCGAATGCCTCACCGGAGAAATTCGACCTGATAGCATCCGATTTCAAAGGCGAGAAGCCTACATATGGGGATCTGTTGGCGAGCGTTGAAGGCGCGACAGGGATCTCCATGGTGCTGCTGCTGGCCATTGCATTCACTCTGGCGACCAGCCAGTTCAGGAGGAATGTGGTGAGGCTGCCTCCACCTTTCAATAGGCTGACAGGGTTCAATGCCTTCTGGTACTCGCATCACCTTACTTGCCTCGTCTACATTATGCTCTTTGTCCATGGAACCTTCCTCTACTTCGCCACCAAGTGGTACGAGAGAAATGTAAGCTTTCCTTCCGCAGCTTCTTTTAGTATCCACCTTCTCTGTAAACTCTTTTAACAGTACTGAACATGATCTTCACCTGGCAACTGAGTACTTTGTTGTTGTCGGATCGATGTTGCAGACGTGGATGTATATTTCAGTTCCACTGCTGTTGTATGTGATGGAGAGGAGCATGCGTACCTGCAGATCAGAGCATTGCTCTACTAAGATTCTAAGGGTATGTGGTTTCAGGTGTTACAAATATAATGTTCATTACATGTTTCAGCTCCTGAGATAAGCTTACCTGATTTTGGTTCTCAATTGTCTACTTGAATCTTCTGGCAGGTATCAGTTTTGCCAGGAGACGTTTTCAGCTTAACAATGTCAAAACCACAGGGATTCAAGTACAAGAGTGGGCAGTACATGTTCCTTCAATGCCCCGCCATTTCTTCTTTCGAGTGGTGAGTGAAACCCCGCAACTCGAACTGAAACATTTTGCCAGCCACCTCCCTGTTAATCTGTGCAGGGTTGCTTCTGAATTTGCAGGCACCCGTTTTCGATAACTTCGGCACCAGGAGACCCGTACTTGAGTGTCCATATCCGGATAGTGGGCGACTGGACACAGGAGTTGAAGCGAGTTTTCACCGAGGTCAATGACTCATCGACCGTCATTGGTCGAGCTAGATTCGGCCACCTTGGGAGTGTGGATCACAGAGGGTAATAACAAAGCTCAACAACTCTGAATTTACTCATCTCATAATATTGTTGATGTACATCAATGAACAAATTCTCAGTAGTCTTACAAGTCAATACTGTTCTGCAGACAGCCAAAGCTCTATCTGGATGGTCCATATGGGGCTCCGGCACAGGACTACAAGAACTATGACGTTCTACTCCTTGTGGGATTGGGGATTGGGGCTACCCCTTTCATCAGCATCCTCAGGGATCTGTTAAATAACACCAGAACGACAGACTATCAAACGGTATTTCCTTCCTAGCCCAATAAAAAACTAGGATGTGTTTGGCTAGGTGAATTGGTAGACCAAAACCGTCTTTTTTGTTTCAAAATCAATTGATTCTTCTTTTGTGTGTGTGTGTGTGACAATGGTGCAGGATTCAAATACAGATACAAGTATATCAGATAACAGTTCAAATAGTTACGCATCTTCGAGCGCCACAGCTGGGAGCAACGGTAAGAAGAAAGCACAGAGAACCACCAATGCTCACTTTTACTGGGTTACAAGAGAATCAGGATCTTTTGAATGGTTTAAAGGAGTCATGGATGAAGTTGCAGAGATGGATCACAAAGTAAGTTCAGAAAAGACTTGTCAATCATCCAGACTGTTGTCAGTTTTCAATGATGAGTTTCTAACATGGGGTTATTTTAAAATTATCAATGGAAAAAAGGGTCAAATCGAGATGCACAACTACTTGACAAGTGTATATGAGGAGGGAGATGCAAGGTCAACTTTGATCACCATGGTTCAAGCTCTCAACCACGCTAAACATGGAGTTGACATCGTCTCTGGCACTAGGGTATGAATTACTAATATATATCCCTTCCTAAAATATAATACCTTAGAACAAGTGGCAGAAAGTTGGCATTTTGACCCTAAATATCCCTCTTGACAGGTAAGGACACACTTTGCCAGGCCAAATTGGAGAGAAGTTTTCACCAAAATAGCTTCAAAGCATCCCTTCGCCACAATAGGTATAATAAATCAAACCAAAACTAACCTGCATCTTCTCTACTAACAGACCATATGTGTTCCTAGTAAGCAACCTTGAGCAAACTATACCACTGAATTATTTTGCAGGGGTGTTCTACTGCGGGATGCCTATGTTGGCAAAGGAGCTAAAGAAGCTATCACAAGAGATGAATCATAAGACCACGACCAGATTCGAGTTTCACAAGGAATATTTCTGAGACAAACAAGCAACATCATGGTTTCCAAAATTGTTAACCCCTGTTGCCGGGAAAAAAGAAATTCTTTTCTTTTTGTAATTAATAATTTAAATAATTTGGAAAGCGCGATATAAGAGAGAGATATATATGTATACATATAAATTGTTACCAGAACTCAGGGAAATGTAAATCAAGTCACATTCAGAACAGCTTTTTGCAATGGTATAAAGTATAAACTGAAAGAGAAAAATGGTTACTTTGTTTGTATATATGTGAGTACTACTAGTAGCTACAACATGTTTGAACTACCTCGACAGCAGACAGCTAGCTAGCTAGCTACTAGCATATTGAGAAATGAAAATGGATCAGTACAAGTCAATGAAGGGGAAATTGTAGCTCTCAAGGAAGTTGCTCAATCATGAGGTTGACTTAGTTGGGCTGCTAATTAGATAAGACTAATTATTATGGAGAAAGGAGGAGTATTTTAGTTTCAGCACCTACCCAGGTATACCTCTACAGCATTGCAAATCAAGTTTTTTATTTGGAAGTGAAAACATGACATTAAAGAGAGAATCTCAGACGATTAAATAACCTAGAGTGGCGGGAGGCACAGTCAATTCATGCGCAAGACTTCATCTTTCAATAAAACAAGTTCTGAAACAGGGGAGTTTTAGAGGGTTGACATGTTTTTATCTCTGAGTTACCTACCATAAACGGTAATATAACTTCTGTACTTGGATGAGCAAAATTTTGACAAAATACCCGGGGCTGTTAACCTAGAAATGTAGTAAATACAAATTCTGACAGTTGAAGTTCTTCCCTACTTGCTAAATGAACATCTGAGACTTTTAACGATCCATAGCATGATTTTGCATTAGCTTCACATGAGTACATCAAGTGAAATCGTGTCAAGAAATACGAACTCTAAATTTCATCAACTTTGTCTCACGAATTACAGATAATGAAGCCTTACTGGTGTCAGTCAGTCATCTTTCAACCTCTTAAGAAGCCTAGAAGCCCAGATACGGACACGCCTCTTGAACCTATAACCAGTCACGATTCCAGCAGCAAAGAAAAGCAAGCAGAGCTTGGAGCAGGTCCACGCAGACACCATGTTCCTGCTATCGTACAAAACAAGAAACATCTGATCTCAGAAAGCTTGAAAATATAGCATGCTGCAAAGAAGATAATTAGAATCACATTCTAATGTATTAAGATTTACCGAAGAACAGAATCCCACATATTCCAAATGCATTGAACTCAGGAGTAAGTATTACATAACTAGACCACTTAACCACTTGCACTCACCCTGTAAGATATTATGCAAGATTGCAGAAGGGTGTGATTCACTAGGAAAACTCATCAACCAAGTGAATGGTGCCGGAAGGTTCAAAATGTGTCGGCAATTTACACAATCTACCAGGCGAATTTTCATAAGAGTCTCCCGAAACTCAGTGTGCCAGTTAGAATATGTCTGGAGATTTAACTAATTGGATCATTGTGAAACATAACCCACTAAGTTTAGGCAAGCACTAGAACAAACATTAGCTCTTCATTATGCATTGATAATCAGATTGATGATCACCATTCACCAAGACATTCAACCACTTAGTCTGGCAAGCAATAAAAGGAACAAACTGAAAGCACAAATAGCAGTCCTAAGTAGACATACGTAACTGAGTCCCTCAAGCTTACAAATTCAAGCACCCACCCAGTAAAACTTCCGACGAGAAGAGTGAAATACATGATGCATTCTCAATAGCAATTCAGACGCTAGCTACAAATGATTCCACATCAAAACAATGGCTAAATCAAGCTGAAACTCAAAAGCAAGCTGCTGCTACTTCAATGAGTATATGGCGAGGAAAAACCGAATTCAGGGGTTGGAAGTAAGGTTTAGCAACCTGGGGGGCCTGACCGCAAGGACACGAGAGTGGTTGGCAGTGGAAGAAGATAAAGTAGCGGTGGCGGGTCCTAATTTGCCACCGAGATCGTACGATTTCTCCGACGAGGAAGGAGAGGAAGTTATGGACTGTATTTCCTTTGAGACGTTGCGGACGAAATTCTGCAATCCCTCCATTTGCCAGCAATGAGCTTAAACTGGATATAGAGAGGCAAATCCCGAGCAATTCGGCCGACAAGTTAGGTCCTAGCAACCGGATAGTTGCAATCGGAGAGGCCGGAGAAAACTGGCAAGCGGTTAACATTTACGAGTTTCTGAACTAGTAGGACTAGGGGTAGGGGTTGGGATCACGTCACTAACCCTATCTTGCGTAAGACTAATCACATCCATGAAATATTATTTATATTCCATATGTGGCCCCCTACGGCCACATCAACAGTTTTTCTATTTCACTACATATCAATTTCATTTCCTCTACATCCATGAAATCCACTATCTATTTCATATGGTGGGTCCAACTTCCTTTTTAATACATCTATACATTTATATCTGACCTATATGATTTTACCAATTTAAGATGTATCAAATAATTAAAATAATCTATTATAATTATTTAATTCTCAATGATGAAATAAATTTACTAATTCATTAAAAATATATATAGCTTTATTCATTGATTAAAAAAATAAATTATGGAATTTAAAATGGGTAGACTTTAATAAAAATACATGAAACTTTTAGTAAAGTCGCAAGTACAATATTCAAATGACAAATTACAAGTATTATTGGTTTTCTATGTAATTTGTATTTGTATGTAGTTGTGACATCTGATATATATATATATATATATATATATATATATGAATATTTTATTTTAGTATTGCGCTTTCATATTTTGAAAAATTAAATAATCAAAGGTTAATGAATTTAGCTAATATAAAATTTTTGTTTCTTATATTATAGTTAGCAAATGATAAATAGAAGTTAAGACTATATAACACTCTTTTCAATTCAAATAAAGAAAACAAAAAAAAGTGCAAAAGATGGGAAGGGGGGCCCATTCTCCTGCCATATGCTATTTCATATTGGATTTCATAAAGTGGAAGATCCCACTTCCTGAAATAGATCTCACATTCATGACCTATCTCACTTTCATGCCATGTCACCCATGAAATAGGCAAATGACAGCCGATGTAGATGGTCTAACCATGTGTAACTCCTTCTTCTATCCTCCACGTGTATGCATCTAAGCCGTTCCCTTTTATTTAAATAAAACACGGAGGGACAGTAGGGTAAATTGCAACCACCCCTCATTTAATGCTAACGACCTGACACTGAGTTTTGACCGAACATGGACCCCACTACCCTTCCCCACGCGTTCCCCTATGATACTCTGTTATCTATCATTAAAAAAAAAACTAAATTATTTAGTACACACTCTCTCCACTCTAACTTTATTTCTAAAACAAATATAAAATTAACAATCTCAGCTCTCTCTACTCCAACTCCAACTCAAATTGAATGATGATTTTTTCTCTTAATAAGTCTCTGCTAAAAAGGGTAATTACAAGTATGAATATGACCATCACTTTCTACTACCATGATAAATTATGGTAAAATATGCTAAAAAAAATTACAAATCTAATTACCACACAATACCATATGGTATAACATGCTAAAATAAAATTAGAAATCTAACTACCATACAATATCACATGGTATAATGTGGTAAAACATACTACAAAAAATTATAAATCTAACTATCATACAATACCACTATAGTAGAACATGGTAAATCGGATAACCATAAATTAATCATAATTACCATACAATTCCACATAGTAGAAACCCAACCCATATAACAACAAATATAAATATAATTACCACCTCTACGACCATAGTAAAATATGATATGTATAAAAAGACATTTAGTTACCACAAATTACAATATAGTATAGTGTGATATATATATATATAATTACGACTTTCTTCGGTTTCTTGTCCCTTCGTTGTCTTCTAACTCTTCTTTCTCTAAATTGGTGTCGATTACCACCCTCTATTATCATGGTAAAATATGATAACCATATGCATACATCGAGTTACCACACATTATCATATGGTATAGTATGGTATCTATTATATGGTATAGTATGGTATCAATACACATCTAGTTACAACACAATACCACCATGGTATATAGTATGGTAACAACAATATACATATAACTAAGGCATACTTCACATGCCATTCTTTTGCCTCCTCTCGTTTCCTCCTCTACAATTGAGAACAACAAAAGAAGATAAAAAGAGGAAGATCGGAATTGAAAATCCACAAACAAATATTAAAACATAAAACATTCAAACTCAACTCACCTAGACCTGTCCCCTCTTGGTCGATATGGAGCGTCACCAATATTGAGGCCGAAGAATTCACAAAAGAAGGAGGCTGCAGTTTTCCTTCATCGATTGCTAGAGAGAGAAAATGAAGAACTAAAGAAGAGATTAGGTCTATAGAAGAAGAAGAGTGGGAGAGAGAAATGAACAAAGAAAGAGGAAAAGAGAGTTGCAGTGAAAATACACTAACTCACTCTCCTCTATTGAAAATCCAGCTAATAAATGCTGGATAAATTAAAAAAGGAAACAATTAAAAATTCAAAAAGTGGACAAAAATATTCCTCCCCACCCCACATCAATCCTAGCCACATGATTGCTCCATCCTAGATCTACGGCTTCGGGTTAGTTACTCACTGTATTCTCAGCCGGACTTGGGTTTAAGAAATAAGGATCCGATGGACAAACGAAACGGGAATTAAAATTCTTTCGAAAGTGATATATCCATTTCTAATTCAATACCTTTTGACCGAAATGTCTCCACAAACATAACGAAGATTAGTATGGGGAATGGCTGAATGAGAAGTGGGTAAGAGATTCGTGGTTGGGAACGGGTAAGGGTAGGAGCGGGTTGGATACAGCTAAACCCGAATCCAACCCGCAAAACAGTAAACGAGTTTAAACTCGAACCTAGCCCATAATCCAATGCAGGTTTTATACGTGTTGACCAGGTTGGATCGGGTAGGGTACACATGGGTTCAAGTTATGTTGCCATCCGTATTTGGCACTACATCATATCATACCACGTGGTATGAAAGTGTACCATGGTGGTATGAACATAAAATATTGTAAGATGGTTGAAGTACATGATAATATGAATATACGAATTGTCATTTACCACTAGTTACCACCCCTATACCATGTTGGTATAAGGGATGGAGGGAGAGTGTTAGAGGTTGGATCCCGGGAGAATGGTTAATAATTAATTTGGTATGAATATTAACACGTATTTAAATGAGAATGGTTGAGCTTTCAAATATTTTATGTATGATTTATAAGTTGTATATTGACATATTCAATTTTTATAACGATGTATGTACAAATGACAATGGTGAATATGATCCACGCAAATGATAGCTAATTTGTAAAAACAATTTTATTTCAATTGGGGGTAGGGAGTGTACTGCATGGCTTCTAATGGCGAAAATGAGTAAATTAGTATAACAGTTAATTGAGAATGAAATTTAGGGCAATTTTGATTTTGAATGGTTGATCGAGAGATCATGTGTTCGAATCTTGGCAGCTCCATTTGTTAAGCACATGATATTCGGATTTGCGAAAACTTTAAACACGTATAAGTTGGTTTTCGTGAGCAAGGAAGTGTTTGTGAATACTAAACGGTCTTGACAAACAACAACATTCAATAGAAAATTTCTAACTAAATCATGAATAATTGTTTGACACATATAGAACAATATCTTGATAGTTTCGACACAGATTTAATTTGCCAATTTTTTTAAATAAAAAATTATATCATGAATGATTTAAAACTTATAAAACTATGTTTTTATGTTTTTTTTTTCCTAAATGGACCCACTCTCCACAAAATCATGGCTACGCCACTGGGTGGTATGGAGGGGTACGTTATTGTCTCATATTTTTTCCCCAAAAATTTGTAGATCCAATAGATCAAGAATATTTTGTTTCATCTATGCAAAAAATATCAGAATTCGAGTTAAAAACTAAGCCGGTACCGGTTGGTACCAAGGTGGTAACGAGTGGTATGAGTTGTATGAAAAACTTTTTGTCAAAATATATTAAAAACATATCTCATTTTGTAGATTACAACGAACTCGTTCCATCTCTGCGAAAAAATCTGAAATCCAAGTTAGAATGAAGAAGATAAGAGTCGATTAAGAAAACTAGTAAAAAATAAAAAAAACCCATTAAATCTCACCTCTTAAATCTGAATTTTCTGAACCCACTAAGGGGTCGTTTGGAGAATATGAATTTAAATATACAGATTGTCAACAATCTAAAGATTCTAACTCTTCGGATAGTTGAAAACAGATTTTAAAATGTTTATTGTTTGGTAATAAAAAAATTAGAGTGGTTCGAAAAATATTAAAACTTTTGTTGATAAATAGATTTCATGTGATAAATAAATAAAAGGAAGAGAAAAATTAGGAGAGAAAAAATCTCATGAAGCTAGAATCCACAATACAAAAAGCAACAAAAAAAAACATAACTTTTTACAAAATCTACGGATTCAGTGAATCCATGTCCTGAATCCTGTTCTCCAAACGACCCCTAAAATCTAAATGTCTAGATTTAGTTAGGGAATGGTGCATAACCAAGGGATATTCACCTTATCCTCATAATTTCTTACCGGCTTGGTGCATACCTTTTGGTTATGCAGCCTTGCATAACTAAATTTGGGCAATTAGTTTAGAGAAAATTTTCACAATATACCACCCAAAAACTAAAAAAATCCAAAATCACCACCACTTCCCAAAAATTTCAATCCATACCATTCTTTCCCGAAAACTGCAGCCCCCTATGGTGGTTTAAAAAATGACTACAATGGGTGCTTTCCTGCCGCCTACATATTGGGGTCGTTGTGTTCAGATTGACCTTGGCCCCCCACATGGTTTTCATTTCAAATGTGGAAACCGCCACACCCCCCACGGTCCGCTGCCTATAATTTTTTTTATGAATATGATAAACTTCGTAGAAATCAAACGTAGCCATTTTTTTAATTTCCCGCGGTCCGCTGCCTGTACGGTAGAGGGAGATAAAACAATCTTGGTCGCACCTCTCTTATGTTCTCCTTTCCATCACTCTAATTCTCTTACCGATTGCAAATCCCTTTACATTGATTTCTGCCTTATGATGTCGTATTTCATATAATCAGTTTTTCTAAAAGTTTCCTCCTTGAACCTACTTCGCTAAGTTAGGCTGAAATTTCAAATGAACATAACTTTGTGGGGTTAATTGCACTGGTTGCCACTTAAGTTTACCTTTTGCTGCACGGTGACCACCTAAGTACGATTTGTTGCACATAAACCATTTACGTCGAATAATAGTTTCAACATCACCATTTCTGTCAATAAAACTAACGGCAAGTACCTAAAGCTAATTTTTCCTGCCATGCTGGTCCACGCAGCTAGGCAAGTGAAATGTATAGGGAGAAGAACTCGGGTAACGGAAGCAAGTAAAATATTGCATAGCATAAGAGCTTACTAAACTCCCACCATCTAAGTATTCTTTTTTAGGAACATAATTTTATTATTAAAAAACCAGACCCAACAAAGTCTCCTTAATGCCATTACCAATTAAATGACCACACACACTTCTCATGGACTCCAAAAAAAAAAAAACATACAAACATACAGCAGCACTATCATTGTTATCCATCATCCTCACTTCTTCACTAAGGTTGTAAAAAGTAGCAGATATACATCAGCAACACTCTTAATATGCTTGCCTCGTGATACACACATGTGTTGGCTCGTTTATACCCTTCCTATCTCGGTACTCTCAAGCAAAGGGTCATCTAGAGTGGGAAGCTGTCATGCACAATAAAGTTCACGCGCTCGTCCAAAGTCGTTGGGTTTTTGCCTTGAAGATGAAACCACTTGGGAGCATTGATATTGATTTTATTCGACATATAAATAAATAAAGCGAAGTAGATTACTGCTGAAATTCAATTATTGTTACTCAAAATTTTCGTACCCAAAAAATTGATGGTAAAACGTGAAACTATTTCAACTAAGAATATCAGGGTTAGTGGTCATAAATAAGAGTAATAGTGAGGGGAATTTTGAAACAACAATGAGGGCTAAATTATTCCCCCATTACAAGACAATGTTTTCTTGTAAAAACAACTCGTCAAAAAACAAGATCATATTTTGATACAATTACCGATGCGATATATAATAGATCGGTAAAAGGGTGCTCCTAATGAGGAGATTGTACTTCCTCATCCACATTTTGATCGTTAAAGCCACTTTTTTTATTGTAGGGAGAACAAATATCAATTAAGGGTCGTCAGACGAGTTAAAGTTGCATTGTCTATGATGCTAGGTCGGGGGGGGGGGGGGGGGGGGGGAGAGAGAGAATTTGACTATGTTCGTGAGAAAAATCCTATATGACTACCCTAATTTGACTTTTATTTACATGAATCTTGAAATCATACAAAATTGAATAAATAACAAATTTAAGATTTTGTAGTTTTAAATTGAGATTTCAATGTTTAAAGATTTTATAGTAAAATCAAGATTGGAACCCATAGGTAAGATCGTAAAATCGTAAGATTTTAAGATTAAAATTGGGATTTTAACTACATTGGATATAATAACAATATATGATATGCTTTGTGTTCTTATTACAACATCCCCCGTTCTTTCTAAAGTTGACCGATTTCGATGGAAAATATAGCTATGTATTTTGTACGGTAGATGAAGCTCGAGTTATTTGGTCTGAAAGGTTATCGGTTCAACTTGGGCCTTGCCCAATTTAATCAACGATAGAAATTTCATCCACAGAGTCCAAGTAAGCAGTATTTAGAGTTTAGACCAATTCACCATAGCAAAGTCCTAAAAAATTAGATCTTAATATTAATAAAAATAAATAGGAATGTATTTTAATAACATATCGTAAATTATTCTAATGATAGAGTAAGATCTCATAAAATTTTTGTATGAAATTAAAAATATATTAAAGACGAGAAATAGGCAATGAACAACATTTTAAAAAATATTACATTATATATATATTTTTTCAAAACATATACAAGTGTGTAAAAGGTTGAATATTTATATTAGTTAACTAACAGTTAAACTTTAGTTTTATAATAGATGTTGTGGTGCATTAATTAGATACGAAAAAACCTGCTTTTTCCTTTTACCCACAAGTTCCACTCTTTTGGAAGACAAAACCGGGAATAGACAGTTAGGGAGTGTAAAACACAAGTACTTTCTCTGTTTGCTCGTGGGTTCGTTCTTATGTTTCAACATTTTGGTTTTCTTGACTTTGTTAATAAAATTGACCGAATATACAAGAATTGAGGATTGTCGACCACCCTGTTTCTGCAGATCAAAACAAAGAACCCCCACAATATTATATATTTGTCGAACAAAAACTAATTAATTTTTGAAAGGAAAACTGACTGCATAAACATTACTCTTCTCCAACTATAATAAATGATTCGACCACTATCACTCATGACCATAATATTATAAAATAAGTAACTATCTAACTTGCTCAAACAAAGCTAGGCCAAACAACCAGGTCCAACACAACATAAAATAAGTAACTACATAACTTATTCAAACAAAGCTAGGCCAAACAACCAGGCCCAACACAACACCCAATTGAATCCCTTGCTCTTGCTCTCCCGGCTTGTGATCTCCACGCGGATAGCCTCAATTTCTGTCTGACCTTCTTTATCTTTATGGTTGTAGTCCTCCAATCTTTTACAGGCGTCTGCAAGCGCATCATGTAGCTCCTTCATTGTGTATTAGACAAGTGGGTCTCATCGGCTGAAAAAATCGGGTCCTCAAAGATGCAATCACAAGTATCCCCTTTCGAGATTGTCTCGTGACAGATTGGGCACCAGATCTCCATGGAAGGTGGAGAGTACCTAAGTAAGAAGAAAAAAATGAAGAGTAAGTTAGGAGAAAGAGAGACTTTGTTTTCTCCAGCTTAGTTGCTTTACGCTGTGTTGCAGCGGCCTTGCGCTTTTTCCTGAATCCCTTGCCCATGATATGCCTACGTTAGTGTGTGGTACAATATCTATTATGGAACTTCTCACAATTACTAAAGTTATTGATACCAACTACCAACTGGTTTTTGACAGGCTCTCCTAGTTATTTCAAACAATACTTCTTAGTTTTTTTAGTGAAAAATCTGTTGAGTTGTGAGATATGAGAGTGTGTTCAGCTCCTATATATAGTTCGGGCAAGACCAAAAAAAATTTACATTCAAAATTATATTAAGGAGAATATTACTTTCTTCATGGAAGGTTGGTCCATGGCCGTCTGTCCACCTCCACCATTTCACTTTCCAAGACTATCCTCTCAACGTCACTTTAGCCAGAGCCACCCTCTAAGAAACATATACATCGCCCAACTGAACTTCACTTTCTTTATGGAATGCTGACCTGTGACCGTCTGTGCACCTCCACCATAAGGGGTTTCCAAGATTCCCCTCTCAACGTCACTTTAGCTAGAGGGTGGGTGTAGGAATTAAGTCTAGGAGTTTGAAAATTTCAAAACTTACGTATAAACTATATCGGTATTTGTAAATTTCGTATAGGCTGATGAGTTTGTATAAGAATATTTAATGTGGATTATTACAACAACAAAGCAACCTGGCCCAGTGGTCGGAATCCTTCTATTGCATCCATCAGAATATGGGTTCAAAACTCACAGGTGGCATATTTTAGTTTTAATCTCTCATTAACTTTTATTTTATGGATTCTCAATTATGTAATTTCAATATGGTTTCTTAACTCTTTTATTTTCAATATTAAGTTTTATATGGATTCAAATTGATGTTATGATAATATTAAAATTTTATTTTGATTATTATTAGTTTTAATCTCTCATTAACTTTTATCTTATGGATTCTCAATTTTGTAATTTCAATATGGTTTCTTAACTCTTTTATTTTCAATATTAAGTTATATGGATTCAAATTGATGCTATGATGATATTAAAAATTTATTTTGATTATTGTTTTTTTAGTTTTATTGTCTTTCCGCAGTAACAAAATAAATCCCCCTTCGGAACGTCAAATTTTGTCTTCGTCTCTAACTCAAAGATGAAATGCATTTTATGCACTTTCAACTGCAACCGGTAAATCAATACTAATTAATGGAGTCATAAACAAAACATATGGATACGACGTATTCACCTTTTTGAGTTTGTTTACACAGAATAAGTTGTAGTATTGATCTTATTTTGAGTAACTCTAATCATCTAAAATGCTAGTTGTGATAATATTAAAAATATTTTTTCCTTAATTTTTATCGTCTTTTCGAAGTAGTAGAATATAAAAAATCCCCCCCCCCCCCCCGAACTTCAAATCATAGCTCCGCCCATGGCATGGGCCGAGTGGGATTAGTAGTTAGTGTAGGAGTCTTCTTTGTGCGCCAAGTCGGATAGGTGGAATAGGGTTTACGTATTAGCGTTTTATCATTACATAAATGATAAGTTCGACATTTGTCCGCTTTTATCAAAATCAATAAACAAATAAAGGCTTTTGATAGTTTACATTGTTCCCTCGCTTGTTAGTTACAAGCAAAACTCTTGGAACCGTGAGTTACATTTCATCACGTATACATCCCCCCAATGAGTGTATAGATTTGTATTCATACCAGCAATATACCCGACGCTCCATAGCGGGATGAGCTCCTGAAAATACATTCCAAGAATAAATTTTCTAGTTTCAGGGTTTATGAAACCAAACAAGATGAAAGAACATAATATTTTCATTCAGATTATGTATATATGGTTGCCATGACATATCTTATCAAGGATGCAGATGACGAGGATGATATGGGTGAAGTGTGAAAAGGATGTTTCGAGAAAATTTTCAAACTAATGAAGCACCAGGTAGCCGATCTTGATGGAGTAGGTGTCAAAATAGAACCGAAAAGCACAAGAACACACAAAGTTGTTTTTTTAACGTGGTGACACTATCCCACGTACGGAGAGGATCTCATTCTCAGGTTCTAGTTATTATTACGGCGTAAATAAAATTTTCAAATCTATATTGACCCAAATTTATTACATATCCTTCATTTCCAAAATCAAAGAATTCAACACAAGCATTAATCTTTCAAATCCAACAAACAAATTACTCATAAATCCATACATCTTCTTTGACAACTTCAGTTATGGTGTGTACTCAGCTTCTATTGGAAAATGCTAAAAAACTTTCCATCCAGATCCAGGTTGCAACACCAAAATTTAATCAAAATATGAATTCTAATTATGATCGATAATCATCTTGATTAATGGGAAGCTAGTACTGAGTTATTCATTTACAACAAATACTCCCTCCATCATTTTTTGTTTTGCTCTTCCCTGTTCATGCTCTATGTTTGCAGGCGTTTTCTTTCCTGCTTTTTGTTCTCTTTTGGTTTGTTGTGTCTTCTCCCTTTCATGTTTTGTTTGTTCATGTTGGGCTTGGGATCACACCTCCAACTAATGATGTGAAATGGGTTGGTATGGTGGATGAATGTGAGCCATCTTTTTTGTAGATGATAAAATTTGGACGGGTGGTGGGTGAGTGCAAATCATCCAATATATATTGTATCACTATTCTACATTCTGCAATAATACACTTATATTTTCTATCTCAAAATGTTAATCGTGATTGATTTAATTAAATGATCATAACCATTTTCAATAATTTTGTTCGATTTACAACATAAATTATTTCAAAAAAATAATTATTATTTTTGTCCAAAAATAAGATTGTTGATGCTAGATTATGCAATAAACTACACTTAGTAGTTATCAATTTCGTTGAACTTTGTAACTTTTTTATATGCAATTAGGCAATTATAAGCTTTTAGGGCCATAATTATCTTATTAATTATTTGAAAATTTGAAACACCACCAGACTCATCCACCATCTGTCATCACCCAACCATCCATAATGGTATAAATGAGTGGATATGAGTAATTTTCTCTTCAACTCAAAATTTAGTAAATGTTAGCCTAAAAACCCAACTCATGCATTGCCCCCTTGTTGGGATTTTGAATAGTGTGAATGGAAATGAAAAGGGAAAGAGCCAAGAGAAGCTTTTGAAGTATCACGTCGGTGAGATGTGGGAAGATGTCGTCTCGTATTCGGTTGATTTGATGTAATATGTGGGTAATTGGTTAAATTGGTTTGTGTAACCAACCGAACCAAACGAGTCCGAGTCGAGCCAAATCAATATGGTGGTTGGGATAACCCAACCCTTCCAACTACCATAGGACCAAACCGATGCAATAGGTGAGAAATTTTAAATGAACCATTGCAATGTTTGGGGTGTAATCACCAATACGAAGAATCGCCTCCCTTCATACACACCCCTTTATTCTCTATTAATAGCACCTATGCCCTTTAGTTTTGAAAGTCGTTTTCCCCTAACCAAAAACTCTGTCAAAATCCAAAATGATTTTTTGCATTCTTTTCAAAAGAAAAATCGAGTCAAGTGTGGTTCTCGCCGATTCTAAGTTCTCGATGGTTTTCGGGGTTTGAGGTATCGCTATGATGGAAAGGTACATCCTTTCTATCTTGGGAAGAATCATTCCATAATCTTGGGTTTCAGAAGGGAATAAGATTTCTTAAGGAGAGATATTGTATTATGTCGGCTAAGACGATTGCATGTGTTTGCATGGCTTTTGTGATCTTACATGTTACTTGTTTTACAAGAAATTATTATACGTGAACAATTTGGATAACATTCCCTACCCTCAACGACCTTGAATGTATCCTAATAGTTGTTTGCAACTACTTTAGCATCCCTGAATAATAGTTTAGTGACTCTCACCTAGATTTAGTTGATATATCGTCTTGTTACACTTAAAAGCGGGATTTTGATGATGTGGGTAATGTGGTTGAATTGGAATTTTGATGATGTGGCGGGTTTTGGTGACGTGGCGGGCTGGATATAATTTTTTATTAAAATAGGCTGATTGGACGATTTTGTTGGTCACGTCAGCAAAAAACTGACGCCATTAACAAAGGGCAGAGGCTAACAGAGACTAACCGGGAGTGACTAAGTTTGGATGATTTTATGGGTTGGGTAATGGGTTGAATTGGGATTTTAATGATGTGGCGGGTTTTGGTGACGTGGAGGGTTGGATATAATTTTTATTAAAATAGGCTGATTGGACGATTATGTTAGCCACGTCAGCAAAAAACTGATGTCGTTAACAGATGCTAACCGAGAGTGACTAAATTTGGATTATTTTATTAATTGTAGTGACCATGAATGATTTTAAATATTTCGAGTGACCAAACATAAACCTTTTTTGTAATCTCAGTGACCAACCATGCAATTAACCCCTTAAAAGCGTAATAGCAATATGTGGTGTCGTAAAATTCCTAACTAATTAAATGTTATTTACTGTACCTTTTGTCTTTATTACGATATATATATATATGGTTATGTCTTCGGTGTACTCACTTTTTTTGGGTGCATTCAATGCACCCGCTTCATAATCGTCATTCTGAGCAGACGTTTCATGTGAAAACAATGACAATAATCACTTGTGGTATGGTGAACAAGAATCACATGAATTTTTACAGAAATAATTCAAGATTCACTTTAATTTGAATGATTTAGGGTTTAGGAATTTAGGGTTAGAGTTTACAATTTGGGATTTTGGGTTGGGAACTTGGGATTCAAAATTGAAGGTTAATAAGTTAGGGTAATAGATTGATTAGTACTAATTCAGTGTTATATCATTATATTAGACTAATGCTACTCATTAAAGTTCAAAATTTATGTATTATGACATCTTTAAAAAAGTGAGTGCACCGAAATAGCCACCATATATATATTTTGCATGAAAATGCTCCATTTTTTTTAATTTTTAATAGGATTTCCAACATTGCAAAAAAATGTTTGGATATGCATTGTACGTGATAGATAGAACTAGGTTAAATACACTTGTATATCCAAAACTTTTACGGTTGTGCCAATAATATCCAAATTTCCCGAAATACCACTTATATCCAATTCCTTCACATTCTTTAACGGTGTTTTTGGATATACAAGTGTATTTAACCAAAAATATATTGGGAAATGGATAGATTTGACAAAGAACAACTTCAAAACATGGATATAAGTGATATTTCGAAAAATTTGAATATTATTGGCACAACCGTGAAAGTTTTGGATATACGAGTGTATTATAACTATTATTAGCCCTGAAAATGGACAATTATGTTAAGCAAATTAAACTGAAAAAGCATGGTGGGGTGTTAGAATGGTTTCGCATGAAAAAGCACAAAACACTATTAAAAGTGTATCATATAGTAATAAAGCAGTGCTCAAACGCATTTTGAGCATTCACACAACAATTGAGGAGGTTGTCACGCTAACTCATTCTGCATGGTACCTGATTAATAGAACTATGAGTAGTCTATGAAAGGGAACATGTGCAAATTATATTTAGTAAACTGATGTGCTTATTAATTACTATAATATTACAATATTATTAGTAATCCTAGCTAGCTAGTAGCTAGCTAGACAATGAAATAACAATTATTTATGAGTAGTAGTAATGACAATAGTAAACCTATATTTTGGGGATCTAGCTAGTTTAATTTACGTTCGATATATTTGTATTGAGAAAGCTAGCTAGCAGAGCTTTATTTAGCGGTTACTTCATCACTGCTAGCTGCTTCTTCTCAAAATGAAACTTGTGGTTGGATACGTAACCATAGCTTCATCACTTCACTCCATATGTTTGTAGTCCTGGCTGCCATAAGGGCTGAGCGCCTCAGCCAGAAAGGAGTTCTTCCTCCAAGAGCTCAACCCCATTTCTTCACAGATCTCATCGCTGTGATTGATGCTGTAAGTGGAGATGCAGTGCCTCTGGTAAAACCTCGTCGTCTTCTTCATGATCTCGATCTCCTGCGATATATGCTCGCACATCTTCTTCACCTTGGGGAGCTTGAACTTCTTGTCCGCCAGTCGTGCCAGCCAGATGCTGCGGAGCTCTGCGGTGTGGAGGTTCGCGACGCTCTCGATGTAGCCCACGAAGGCCATGTTCGGTATCAGTGGGTTGATCGTTCCCCTGCGCCATCATCACGCTTAGTACGATTAAAACGAAAGCTGAATCATATGAACTTGAAATTTGTACAAATCCAAATACCAAGAGTTTAACAGTGTTCCGATTACCATACTAAAAACCATTTGGTCCAGTAACTCGAATGATTCGTACCTGTACAAGGGCATGACACCAGAAGGGTACTCGAGGAAGCTGCGGAAGGGCTCGGGGATGATGTCGGTGAGCTTCTTCTTGCCATCGTAGCCGGTGGCGAGGAGGACGAGATCGGCCTCGAGGCGAGTGTTGTCGTCGAGGAACTGGAGGCCGGTGGTGGTGAAGCACCATTTGGAAGCTCTCTTGAACAAGATGTTGCCCTTGTCGGCCTCCGGGAAGAAGTCGTTGGGAGTGATGGCCATCTGGCAGGACGCGTAGTCTTCGACGAACGGGTGGTCCGGATTCAGCCCGTACTTCTGGAGTGGGAGCTTGTGGAGCAGGTACGACTCTATGAACTTGGAAACTGCATGCCTCTGCATGCACATGATAATAAAGAGTTACGTTTCGTGTACGTGTGATCTCAATCGTTGGATGCATGTAACGAGATTTGTGGGAGGGAGAAATTTGATGTTTTGTTACCAGTGGGGAAAGGAGGAGGCAGAGGAAGGCCCTGAGGAGGTTCTGGTTGGGACGTTGGTGGATGAACTGGGAAGATCTGGTGGAGAAGAACAAGAAGAATGGGAGCCCCCAAACCCAGTAATGGGGCACGGTCCAGTGTAAGGTTCTTATCACCATGGTGCACGCCTTCCCTTCTGGGCCTGCATTTACAGATTAATTCTTTGAGATTGAATTCACACCTCGGAGAAAGAAAGATGTTGGCAGTAATTTTCTACAACGAAGTCATCATGGTTAAGTCAGAAATATGTCAATTCAATGTAGACTGATAGATCAAAGTCGTCGCTCGACCCACAAGCCACCAAACCCAAAAAAAAATTATGGGTTACTGAAGTTAAAAGTGATTCAGGTTTAGGGGTGGCTATACGGTCCGGTCCGGTTAAATTGGATCAAATCGATCCGGTCCCGATCCGGTCCCAGTCCGGTCTTTTCGGGAATATAAGGACCAAAGATTGGATTGGATACAATCCAGTCTTGATCCGGTCCGGTCTTGAACCGGTCCGGTCCCAATTTTATCTTGATTTTAGGTGTTGGGGGTTTCTTATCCGGTCTTTATCCAGTTTTTTACCTCAAATCTAAGCCCGTATATGCGATTGCATTGTTTGCTATCCGGTCCCAATCCGGTCCCGATCCGAGTTATACGATCCGGTTTCGGTTAAAACCAAACAGTCCGGGACCAAATAGCCAACCCTATTCAGGTTTCATGTTATAAAATGTTCACATCAATCCTGAGTTCTCGAAGGAGTTCGGCTCCGGTAATAATTTATCATGTCTAAGTAAATTGTGAAAGTAAGTTAGCACGATAAAAGATGGAACTTTAAATAATCTTAACAAGAGAAACATCTTAATTTATCAAAGCAAGTAGGTTTAGAATCTTTAGTTAGGCTTCCAGTTAGAACTGAATGATCAGTGGCCCAATCAGTCTGAAATCTACCTACCTACCTTACTGAGTGAAAACAAAACTGAAGGACCACTAGCTATAACGCCCTGCTCACTGTAGACTGGTAACATCTCGATCAACAATATAGTACGTAGGAATTAATATTCATTTTATTTTCTACGCGGTAGGGTTTGTTTTATTATTCAACCGTGTAAAAAAAAATATGCATGCACGACGACAGAGTACGTCTTTCTCACCAAACATGTTTATGTGATGTTTTCCACGCAAGATTTGACCGACCAGACCAGAGTAAGTAAACAAACAGTCCTACTTGATCGATAGTGCTACTTACCCAATTATTTTTTATTTGGTCGGTCAGCGCTGTTTGCTTTTTTCTAAGTTGTATCTAAGGTAACATTATTACAGTTTGTTTCATAGATCTTGTTTAATTTGTTTGTCTACCTTGACAAATGATATTTTTCTCGACTTTTTTGGTCATTAAGTTTAAGTCCAAATGTGATGGTCAAATAAATAAAATCCATGTTTTTATAAGTAAAGGGTGGTTTGTTTCAAATTGTCAACCAAATTTTCAGCTAGCTAGCCTTGATATACAAGAAGTTTCACTCGTACACAATATTCCGTCATAAAAAAACAAATTTGACTTATACTATCATTACTTCATAAGTTTTGTTTGACCCCCTTTTTCTCCAGTAAGCGATGTAAGTAAACTACATCAAGGCTTGCAAGCTGTATTGATTTATATTTCCAAATTTCATATACATCCAAAGTGAATTACGTCAGTAAATACTATAAAATTGTTATGAGAAAAAATGGTACAAATTAAATGTGTATTATAAAGATTTTTTTGACAATAATAAAAAAAACTTTATAATACACATTTAATTTGTACCATTTTTAAAGATGCAAATACAGTTTTCACTATAATTTTTTTTAATATAGGTGCCAACTAAATGGTACTATAATTTTTTATACCATAATTTTTCAAATCAAATCACCAATATTATTAAACATTGTAAAATTCCTTGTAATATAAAACCCGAGGTCCCGAGGGATAAACACAAGTTGCGGTGAGTCAACAAGTCGTTATCATGCGACTTTTACTTTATATATATACTTACCGAGTTTTCTTATTCTTTTGTTTGACTATCTAGGCGAATGTTTTTCCTATTTAATGTTTGACATGAAAGTTCCTCCCCATGCACGCTCGCTCGACTCCTTTCTTTTACGTGGAAAATATGCAAATTATATATATATATATACATGTCTATCTAACGCATCTTTCACTCAACAACACTCTGTTTCCTGACTGCCTGTCAGCCTATAAGAAAAAATCAGCTTTCTAGATTTTTAAAGTATTATTAACAACCATCCACAATATTTTAAAAAAAAAATACCATTAACTAAAAAGAAAAAGGAATTGAAACTGCAAGATTGACCTAGAAAAACGTCAAAGACATGCAAGAAGTTAAAAAAAAAAAAAACAGAGTCCAAACCCATGGAAGATAATAAGATATAGACATGCCATGTTGTTTTTCTTTTCGTTATTTCTAATTTTCTATCAGTTCCCACTGACAATTCAACATTTACGAAAAATGTCGTTAACAGAGAAAATAAGGCAAGAAAAGTACCTTGGTTTGCTTGAGCGCATTCCACAGCCAAATCGATAGCCGATTTCTTGAAGCCGATGATGGCAACCTTCTTCCCTCTCATCAGCTCCGTCGCTTCTTCCTTGTCCAGTTTGCAGTAATCCATGGAGTGCATCACCTTCCCCTTGAATATCTCTGGCCCTCTCTTCTGCGGGAACTCTGGTATTTTCGGTACGTCACCGTACTTCCCCGTGCACACCACCAGCATTTCGAACTCGTACCACTGAAATATAATATCCGTAAAAATTTCTTAGTCAGGGCGAAGTTAGTTATTGTAGTAACTCCATAAAGTTGGTTTAATATATAATAATGTGAGGATGAGAAGAATTACCAAACCAACGAAATATAATATATACCTGTATGGTACTCTCCGGACCATTGGATCGCACAGCCACCTCCCAGACCGGGCGGCCGGGGAGAAGGGCTCCATACTCACCGCCACCGCCGGTTTGGTGTAGATCATGACGACCACCTCCATCGCCGCCGATGAACCTGATCTCCACCACCTTGGTGTTGAACTTGACGTACTTGAAGAGATCGAAACGGTGAGCATAAGACGTGAGGTAGTCCAAAATGTCAAGGTGGGAAGGGAAGGTAGGGTCGTCCCTGTTGGGCCAAGGGAAGTCGCCGAACTCGTAGTCCTTGCGCGGGGACTGGAGCTTGGTGGAGTGGTAAGAGCAGCTCTTCCACACGCCGCCGATGCAGTCGCCGGCCTCGAACACCACGGGGTCGTAGTGGGCCAGCTGCTTCAGAGCTGCCACCCCACTCACCCCGGCGCCGATGATCCCCACTTTCGACGATCTCACCACGGCGCGGCTCTGGCTAGCCATGATGGATGGAGAGCTTTAGAGAAGTTAAAACGTTTTTGGGTTTTGAAGAGGAGGAGGAGGAGGATATTGGTGTGTTGGTGGGAAATGGGATGGTGCATGGTTCGTGTATTTATAGTATGAAACTAAGATTTTCTGGTTAGGAAGTGTGGGAAATTGATGGGGTACAAAGGCGGAAGTTTCCCTTGTGAGTAGTTTTGATTTGGGGGGTTGGTTTGGTTTAGGAGGAAGTATAGTAGTACTCCGGGGATGGTATATTGGTAGGTTGTGTTGAATTATTAATCTTTTTAATTTTCTGTTCAAAGTCCAACACACAATGTTTGTATGTATAATTTATTTAGATTATTGATTAATGATATACGTTGAAATTTCGTTTGGGTCATATATATTTGAATACCAAGTAAAATGTAGGAGTGATGATGAGATGATCATATGCATGTGGCCATGCAGCATGTGTTTGTTTTCATATAGGTTGTTTGCTATACTTTCTTGGCAATGGCTTAGGCAATTGTGAGAACACCTTCCTTGGGAGTCAAATGTTTTTTTGTTTAGAGATCAGAAAAGTTACATATTAAAAGAAAAATAGTGGTTGCAAAAGATTCAAGATAGCATAGCAAATCCATTCAAGTCATTAGACCCAATGAAAGCGTTCACACATATGCACACCCGGGTACATATTCAATTCGATTCGATTTGATTAAATTGGATAAAACTCAATTCTGAAGGATTTCGGTTGGTTGCGGGTTTTGTTCGCTTTTGGAGTTGGTAGGTTGGGTCGTTCAGATATGAGCTTTGTCAAAACCTGATCTAGCTACTTTCCACATGACGCGCATAAAAAAAACTAGTTGTTTTGTACCTAATCCTAATAATTTGGATATTTATTTATTTTATAGATCTTTATGACAATATAATGCTTAATAAAATGAATAATTTATGAAATTTAGTTTTTATGATAATATAGTTGTAAGAAATTTTAAAAAAAAAAATTGTGGAAACCTGACCTAGCTACTTTCCACTTGACGCACATAAAAAACTAAGTGGTTTTGTATCTAATCCCAATAATCTGGATATTTATTAATTATATTAGTCTTGATGACAATGCTTAATAATATAGATAATTTATTAATGTATTAGTCTGATAATATAGTTGTAAGAAAATTTTCAAAAAAAATGTGGGTACCCACTCACACAGGCACATGCTGAATTGAGTTGGGTTTTCTCTTCCAAAATCCAATTAATATTTTATTGGATTTGTTTGGCTTGTGAACTGGCTAGGTTGAGTTTGATTAGGAGAAATCTAACTCAATTTGAATCATTATCATCCCTAAGTACAAATCTCACCAAATAAGTGTGGTTAGCCGTTAACCACTAATCATTTAAAAAGGGTTTTATACGTTCGCGGTTAACAGAATTGGTCATTTTAAGGTTAATGGACCGTAAAACCGCACCGAATAAATAGCTAACTGAATAACGTAATTATTTGCATTCCAGTTCCAGATCCAACTTTCTGCCCATCCCACCTAGCGCTAGCGTCCAGTCCACCCATGACTCACGAGGGGTGCAACAACCAAACGAATGGGAAATTCTGATGTCACAATCTCTTTTTTACATGGTGTATGAAACCATACCGTACCGGCGGTTTAACCACAAAATACCAGTATTGGAGGCTAAACTGATAGACACTATTTAACGGTACTAACGGTTAAAACACAGTTTTGCCATAAAATACCCTATCGCTGACTTTTCCGGTACGGTTTCATGGACCATGCTTTTTTACTTCTTCTTATTTAAAATTTGTACAATGAATTATTTTTAGAGATTATCAGCATATGATTCATTATAGTTAGTAAAATAAGATAGAGTTACGTTATGTACAAAATATGTACGGGTATTTTACATCATATCTAAAATAATGGTACGTTTAGTATTACGTTAATAGTCAAAACATATATGAAATTAATTATTTTAAATATTACTTATTAAATAATAATTTAGTTAGCAATTTAATTCATTAAATACGAATATTCGACATGTTATATGAGTTTTATACGTGTTTAATACAGGAGGCATAAAATAGGTAGACAATAACATAGATACGAAAGTTTTAAATGGATAAAATACCTACGAGTATATATACATGTATTAAACAGAATATTTAATAATTTTATAATAAAAATTATCTTGTAATTTTCTACAAATCATTCATACCTATCTTATCAGAATCCTTTCTACGACCTCAACCCTCCGATCTCTTTGTTTTTCTTGTTTGACAAGGCACTAGCACAATGTTATTAGTCAGCCTTTGAAAAGCATATGCAAGGCACTAGCACAATGTATACATTCATGAAGAACAGAAGGATGAAACATGGGACGATTCGAAACAAGCCGACAAGCCGTCCAATTCACCCTATATACATCACGAGGTTACATGACTTCGAGAAACCTGTTTTTTCATAATTAATTAAGTTATAGATAGAGAGGTGTCGAACGAGAAAATAATAGCCCAGGAAGGATGGTGTACAATTACTCTATATCCCCGATGATGAATGGTGTAGTTTTTATGTAAGAGAAGAAAATGGAATTGGAAATATCCCAGAATGTTGGAAGAAGGTGGCGGGAAAAATCGCCCAGAGAGGGAATGACTGAATGAGTCTATATTAGAGTAAAGGATTCTCTGAACAATCGAAGGAAAGTTGACAAGTGCTTGATGTCCACGCATCTCTCTTTCTCTCTTGGAAATTAGATCAAAGTCAGTGCCAAATAGTGTAGTGAGTTGGTCTGTCAATGGTTTTCTTCCTTCCTTTGATCCTTTCATTTCCCTGTCCTTATACTCAAGCATGCGGGTACTTTCTACAACCTTGGCATTTGTGTCATGATTTTGTTTTCTACGTTTGCTTCTTCCTTTGTTTCCTCTTCTTGAATGAGACCCGACTATGACATTATTAATTATTCTATTGCCAAACCTTGAACTTTCTGTAGCTCTTATCATTTTCGTTCCATTCTTTCTGTCGACCATTTATATAAGGGAAAATGATGTTGGATTTTCTAGGAGACATGATGCTCGACTTCGTCCTATGAGAGCTAAGCGCCCTAGATTTGTATATGGACTTTGAAGTTTGGGGTAGAGAGCCATGTGATCAGATACAGTGTATGTAGTTTATTTAATCGTAGTAGTTGGCTTTGATTTGTGAGTTGCGATTAAACCTCTAAGTTACATATCAAATCATGCACAATTTGGTTAACCCGTAATTTGTGGTTAGTGGTTTGGTTGTACGAATTATCAAATCATGCATTTTGCGTTCACTAATCATGGCTCGACAAAATCACAATAGCTACAAATGCTACACATACATGTTAATGTTTTATTTTCTTAAATTTTAGCGCTAGCTAGTAGTTAATATTAATAAACGTACTTGTTTTTAGTGAGAAAACTTGTGTTGAAATCGAATTGATTGTACTTTTAACTTTTTCGGACAACGATTATTAAGACACGGCTCACAACTCCTACTCTTGCTCCTATCAAGGATTCAGCGAGAGCTCCACAATACCAAAAGGTAAAGGATAAACTTGACATGTGTGTCAAAGTGTTGGTTTTGGGAACCCTTTCTCTGTCAACCCCTCCTCCTATTTATAGCCATGAGGTAGTCACCGTAGTAAGCAACCGTCTGGAGAGCAACTTCCAAAAAGAACTGTTTTCCTTCTTCCTTGGACGTGGCTGATGTGTGCTTGAACGTGGAAGGCTAAAGGAAATACTTGTCTGTTTGTATCCGCCCCACTAGCAATCAGGAGAGTGCCCTTGTACTTGTCGGTAAGGAATGTACCATCCACTTGGATGACAGGGACACAGAAGCCAAAACCATCAATAGATGGCTTGAATGCCCAAAAAAGTCGTCTGAAATGGCGCTTGTTACCTGGCTCTGGGGGTTGTATCTATTCATCTTGGTATCGAGGGGAGAAAACCGTGTCAGGGTTAGACGCCTCCAATGCCAAAATTAACCTGGGAAGGAATGCATATGATTCTTCCCAATCACCAAAGACGGCGGCCAGAGCTTTCTTCTTTCCATGCCACGCCTTCTTATAGTTAATCATATAACCATAACGACTTGCAATGTCAGCGATTATGACTTTCTCCTTCAGGTCCGGATCTATTGCTCAATTAGATGCTTGATAGCCGCAGCAACCACCCTGGATTTCAACTGTCGATGGCCTTGGGAAGTTATGGATGGCACACATGTGTGTGTGTGTGTGTGTTCACCGCACGGGATATGACCCAGTGGCCGTGTCTCTTGCTGTTGATGGCCCGAATCCTAACATTGCACCCCTCGTGATGATTACGACATCTGACTATGAGCCTTTTAGTGTTGGAATGAGTTGTGTGTCATTCAAAATGCCGAGTCATTGCTTCTGTTTCAATGGCGTGCCGCACCTCCTTCTTCAAGCCAAATTGTTGGCCCTTCATAAACCCAGTGAGTGGACCCCATATTGGGACCTCTGGCGGCTCCATGCCGCTGTCGACCATCCAATTGTCATCTGGAATGTGATTGTAGTGGGGGACTGGTACACGGTCATGAGCCACCTCATCATCATTAGTTGAGTCTGACTCTGGTCCTGAATCATCAGCACCTTCAAGAGGGTCGAAGCTGTCTGCACTGACGTTGTTCTCTCCTTCTTCATCGGAGGGGTCACTGACTGGTGCTGGCAGGGCATCCTCCATCTGATCCAGTTCATGAAAGGCACCTTCATCAGCTCCATAATGGTAGTTGTGAAAACTACCGCTGCCTGAGTGGAAGTTGTACTGAGGTTGGTTGGGGAGGTCCAGTTGAACTTCTTCTTCATATGACGGGAAAGATTGATGATGATCTTCACCTTGCTCTTGGTACTGAAAATATGAATGAGGATCATGGTAACTTTGGTAGGGATGATCGCCATATAATTCACCTCCACCATGGATACCAGATGTTTGACCGTGTCCAGAATGACCTCCAACGCCTACGACCGGCTCGGTGTAAACGAACATCTCGGCTTTGGAAAGATTGTTAGACCTCATGAATTCGAGCATGGCATCTACCTCATCCTGAGTGGTTATGAGATATTCCTCATGCCACAATGACCCACTTTCTCTGTTTGGGTATCGGTACACCATACGATCAACTCTTCTCGTGCCATCCATGCAAGTAACGTTAGTGCACATTTGATGGAGGTCTTCAAGCAGCGGTCTGGTAGCGACCTTTATCTTCTGAAAATTGCCACCGACGTAGGTGACCCCCTTTCCGGTCTCTTCCGTGTAACCATTCCACCGTAAGCCAAGCGTGAACTTTTGGAATGCCATCTGCGATAAAACCGTAGTTCAGTTAATATCATAAAAATCAAAAATAACAATAAAAAGTAATACAAAATAAACTTACGAGTTAAAGTTAATCGCAAAACTACTAAAGAAATATAGAGCTACAACAGAAAATTGAAAAGGGAGAATGAGATGTGTGAAGAGAAGTGGTTTTCCGGGAGGCCTTTTATAGGCAAAATCACTGATGAAAACCGCACCTTAGAGGTGTGGTTTTTGTCTACCATGCAGGCCCATACAGACCCACGCCTGTTACGTCTGTTATTCTGCATGACATGTCGGAAATTGATTGACCAAAACCGCACCTTGGAGGTGCGGTTTGTATGGCAAAATCGCACCTTGGGGGTGCGGTTTTGTTTGGGAGAAACAAACCGCACCTTCATGGTGCGATTTTGATAGGTCAGGCCAAAACCGCACCTCGGCCAAGCGGTTTCTGTAGGTCAGACCTAAAACCGCTTGGCCAAGATGCGGTTTTGGTCCAGGAATATGGACCGCACCATAGAGGTGCGGTTTATGTATAAAACGCACCCTTAGGGTGCGGTTTAAATATAAAACGCACCTCTAAGGTGCGGTCCATTAAAAAAGGTGCTATTAGTGTAAATTTTTTCGGATTGGTGCTATTTTTAATTTTTTTTATAAAGGTGCTATTTCTGAAAAAAAATCCCTTATAAACAACCACAAAACCTAGTTATAAAGTTTGGATAACCAGTTATCTCACTCTATCGTCCGCCAAAAAAGTCCATATGGTAGATTCGAATATCAAGAAGGGATTCCAATTGACTAGTCCCGCACTCCAGTACTGTACTGCAACAAGTCTTACTGCCAGCCTGCTTGCTTAATTAGCCCAAAATTAATATTAATGGCCGCCGGAAGTAGGTGAAGTTGTTGGAAACACACTATGTTCGTACCAATACCATATACATATATATTTTTATATTGGTTAATTGCTTCTGACTATGTCTAGTAATGATCCGAATCGACTGAGTTTTGTGATAATTTGCACTTGACTCGTTAAAATAATCCTAAAATCGAGTTTGGCTTGAGTTCAACACAAGTTTTAATAGACAAGCTCGAGTTCAGCTCATTTACAAAAATAGTAGCTCGAGTTTGATTAGAGCTCAGCTTGCCAAAAGAAGTTGACGAGGGAAAATCGAGTTCAGCTGATAAAATATTGATTGTAGTTCAACTTCGAGCTCGAACTTGATTCAAAATAAAATTTGAAAGTCTTTTGAGCTTGTCCGCGATCCTATCGAACTAAACATGTCATAGCTCGAGCTCGACTCTTTAATTAACGAGCTTGTTCACGAGCCGGCTCCTCTAAAAATGAAACAAATGTCATAAGAATTTTTTCTTGAGTCAAATGTCGAGTTGTTCATGAACAGTTTGGTTGATTAAAAATCCTACTTCTTACCAGCAAAGGACACTTTTCTTTTCGTATCTGGAAATAAAGTAAAGAAAGATCTCATAAGCAAATCATAATTAAGTGGGTGGGAAATTGCAATTGGAACAAACTTAATTATACTATAGAGGTTCATTGTACAAACATCTTTAGTTTCTCTCTTTTGCTACAATTCATTATTCTTGTGCATTGTCGTTGTAGTATTATTGTTCATGCATCCATCGGATACAGATAATCGGAATGTACTTACAAAGTTATGACTTGTGTCTTGTGGTGTAGCAAGATGTCAGAAATAAAGAAGTAAGCTCTTTTTTTAACCTCCAATTCTAATCATTATATTCTCGGTATACAAGGTTCCTTAAGAATACAAATTTATTTAACTTGATGTAATTACAGAATTTATGTGTTGAGAACATAAGATGCATTTCTAATTCACAGAAAATTATGTATAGTGAATCTTATCTTTGTTGTAAGATTTAGTATTCATGGCTCATTTAATGTATAATTATTTTATGGTTCCAACTTCCAAACAATAAATTTTGAAAACGCACGCTCTTAACGTACATATAATCTTAGTACACATAATCTGGTAATACACAATTTCGATCGATAATGAAAGGTTCCAAACCAACCCCAAGGGAGTTAGGATTTTCCACATCCCTATTGCACCAAGTACGATATATTTGTTACATGGAGTAGGAAGAAATGAAGAATGAAACTCAGACAATTGCAAATAGCGCCATTCCTTACTTTCAGACGGCTCTGTTCTTCAACTGACTTACATTTTCATTTTTATTATATATACAATTTCTTCACCAAGAAAGCTTTTAGCTTTTGGCATATTTCCAATTTGAGGTAAATTAAATTAAAAATTAAAATGACACCAAAACGACGAGCCCCGCCCCTCCTACCAAACTAAACAACAGCGTGGATTGCATTTGCTGCTGCCATCATAACTCTCTCCGTCTCCGCTCCTACCGCCGTCCCACAACCTAACGACGTTGCCGTTAATCGCCGTCAAGTCCTGGTATTTGTACCATCCCAATTCCCCTCTTCCCATCCTCACCCTCAACTCCGTCTCCCACCACGCATTCCCGTCGCCGCCGTTATCGCCGCCGCCCACCTGCTCCTCCTCCTCCTCTACCTCTACCTCTACCTCTTGGCGATAATACGCCACGAACTTTCCCTTGGTGACCACGTCGTCGTCGTCGCAGATAATCGGACTCGAAGCCGGCGTCTTCGGGGTGCTCACCAGAGCCTCCGTCTGAACTTCATCGGACACCGCCGCGCTGCTAGTTTTGAGATGAAGGACAAAGGGAGGAGCGGGGACGTGGAGGGTGAGACGGAGGATGGAGGAGGAATTACGGGGCGGAGTGCTGGGTGCGGCTTCCCCGGCGGCGGCGGTTCTGATCCTCCAGAAGCTGACGGCGGCGGTGAGGACGGCGACCCAGGTCCAGAGGTTGTTGACGATGTCGGAAACCGAACAGCTGATGTAGTCGAACACCAGCGGGTCCAGGGCTGAATCCACCGCGTTCATGATTGGAACCTGAAAAACGAATAATTACTTACTGCGGTAGAGAAGAAGCTAAGGCAGAGTGAGTGAGTGGGGTTTGTTTGTTCTTCTTTCCTTTTTATTTAATGGCGAAAGCTACGAGGAAGTTTTTGCGGGAGAGGAGAGGAGAGTGGAGGGGATTTATTTATTTATGAAGTGGGATCAGAAAAGTGGAGATGCTGGGAATCGGGAGCAGAGATGCCAATGGTGGTGGGGAAGAAGATTAGATTACTACTGATTTTGTTTTTGTTTTTGTTTTTATTTTTGGATCCCAAATTATATGCCAAAATGCTTTCTAGCTACTGCTGCGGTTTTTGGTGGCATGTGACACGTGTCGTGTGGGAGGAGGATCTTGAGGGGGTTGGGGATGGTGTCGTTTTTGTGGGTGCGGACCACTGGAACGCATCTCCTGGTTGAGACTTAACCTAAAGACTGAAGAGGGGCCAGGAGGAGATTGAAATTGGCTGCTGTTGCCTGTTTGCTAGCCACATGTTGTCTTTCTTTGACGTGAACATCTTGTCTTGGATTAATGAACGGAATATCCTTTCAAATGAGTTTTTATTTATTTATTATTCTTATAAATAATATTTCACATTTCTGTGAGTTTGAGAGTTGCCTTATTTTGGGGTTTTCTTCTTTGACACAAGTGAGAGATGTGATACGTAGACAACTTCCTTTAGGGATGGAAGCTAGATGATGTATGGTGTAGTTTGGATTGCGTGTGGTTGAAATGGGTAATGTTGTTACAATGCAAGTTGGGACAGAGATACGTGCAATGGATTGATTTCAAAGTAGTTATGTTGTTATAGTTTGAATATACGTGGTATGGAGTGGATTTTTTTAGTAATTTTTCTTAAAATTTATCGTTATTACTATCTCGCATTTTCTATCTTATTTTTTTTATGCAACAAACACATATTTCAATAGCATGGTCGATCGATATGGTCTTTCTCTCCTCCTCTCTCACATATGCTCAAAAATTAATAAACATAAAGTAAAGTTTAAACTTTGTAGTCTCTCTAGTATGGAAAAGTAATATAGATTCAAACAAGAGTATTTGTGGAATTAGTAATAACATAAATTAATCATGGAAACAAAATGTCAAAGTAGTGATGGTGTATTGTACAAAGTTAGGAGAGGGTGGCTTTGAATAATTCAACTTTAATTTAGCTATATTTAAGAATATATGCAGTTTCAACTTTCAACAATAGAGATATTGTCTACACAACACACATCTTGAGTCATTGTATTATTGAGTAGTTTGGATTATGTACGGCAGAAATGGGTATTTTCTTCTTCTTCCAAATAGAGATATGGTGCTGGTGCATCAGATTAATTGATTTCAAAATAGAGGTATATTGTTAGAATATCTCATTTGAATATACAATGTTATCTATGAGTTTTCTCCTCTGAAGATGTATCTTGACCCGTACGTTCGAGAACCATTTGTTATGGCATGGTTTCTCTTAAGATTTTTACTTCAAAATAAAAAAATTATCATTGATCTTTCAACTTCTCTACACTCAATACAATATTTTATTGTTGCGGCAGACCTCTTCTTCTCACTCTTGTAAACCCAAAAAAACTTATATAAACGAAATTTGTACGCGACCTCACTCAATTTATGTTCTTAAAAACTTTACAATGAGAGCATTATTAGATTGAGAAAATTAATCTTGAACATAGATAAATGTGGAAATTATGAAGGAGGGTTTGATGGTAATTTTGAAACCTAATCCATTTTACCTGGCATGTCTAGACTCTTTCTATTCTCTACCCATATTTCCTAAATTATATATAATTTTACTCAAATTATATAGAATTTTACCTCATATTTTAGCTATGATGGAGTTGTAAATAGTTGATAACCTTAATTTCTCGAATAATTTAATTATGTTTATAAAATTATGGTTTATAATGGAAAATAACATTTTCTCATTAAATCATATACTCATATCATATGTGTCGACCAGTCTTGACCTGCGCTCCATGATAAATTATCCTATATGCACCCGACTTTCCATATGAGAATAAAAGATAACGTGGTTTTGCTTCAAAATCAGCTTATGTACGACATGTTTGAGTTAATTCATATTCTTTTCAACTACATACTTCAAAATATTTAGAGTTTAAGAAATGAAACAAATGTTGAACTTAACTACTATTCCCTCTCCCCTTTAGTTCAAAATGAATTAGGTGACTTGGCATTGGTTTGCTTTTACATAATCTTACATTATAATTGTTGAATTATATCATACAAACGCTTTTCAATTTATTAGATTTTAATTATCTGAATTTAGTATGTACCATATATTTACGCACTCATATAAAGAATTTTGAGATTTTTAAAGATATGCTCAACCCTTAACGAATCAATGTTAAGAAAAGGAATACAATCAAATTTGATAGATTCAAATGAAAAGGAAAAAAATTTAGAACACTATTTGCAATGACTACATTTTTTTTATTACAAAATGGCTATATAAATTAAATTCAAATGGATCATCTATGATTCCTCAAATTGAATATGCGTTGACGACAGACAGGACACGTAAATTTCACGCTAAGCCAGTTGTCAATACAAGCTACATGAAACATGTGCTTGCACACTGGCATTATTCTGCATGGCTCTCCCCCATTGTAATCTTCCAAACAAATTGCACATTCTCTAGATGTGGTCTCTATCCCATCGCTTCCATACTCGACACAGGGCAATTCCATCATCACTCTACAATACTTCCTCTGACGATATCTCCTTCTTCTCCTCTCGACTCCTTCCTCGAGATCAGACTCAATTTCTAGGCCACTGTCGTTTTCCACCACCCGCCAATATATGAATTCAAAAAGGATGTAAACAATTACCACAATCAAGGAAGCCGCCACAACACAAATGATCGTCATGCAAACTAATAAGATGATTGCCACGACCATGATAGCCACAAAATGAGGATGGAGATAGTTCCCCAGGGAAACATTAGTAATATTATGCGACGACATTCTGATTGTTCTTGCCATTGTTGGTTCTTTATGTTACTTTTGTATTATTATTGGCTAATGATGATGATTTAGCAAGACGAGAGCTATGAATGATCAATGTGGTAGACATTGTTCTTGATATATTTAAGAAAAATACTTCTCCTTATTCAATATGTGTACTGATATGCGCTGTGAATTTCATCAATTGGTTAATCATATGATTAAACAAAGATTAGTTTGATTGGAGATTAGCTAATAATTTTCGTTGCGAGAGTTGTGAACTAAATGTTGATATGTATATTTTTAAAGCCATGCACGTAATTTACAACTTAAATTCCAACCATTTTCTTCCTTGATCACAATTATGAGTGGATTATTATTGGTTTTTGAACGATAGATTTTGTTGACCATATATTTTGTTTGATGAATAATTTTGTTTTAGAACAGAGTTCATATTAGCAAATACCCATAGTTTGCTCTTATGGCCTATGTATTGCTAGGGGTCAATATTTCCAATGACATGCATGATTAGTTATGTGTTATGCCATTAAACTTGGTTGGTAAACACTATGAGTTCCAGATCATTATGTTGTTGTATAATACCGTTAAACATGTTCATATGTTCCCTGGCCTTTGTTATTAACAATAATTGTTGTTGCTTCTTCACCAACTTTTGTTTCTATTTGCTTGAAGTTTTACTTAGAATTGTTGCACATCTTAGTTACTGACATATCCATGTCATTGTATATCGAAATAACCAATTTGGTTTTCATGAATCATTTCTTTCAAGTGCTTACTAACATTATCTCTTAGACTATTCAAATTACCATATGAGAGGAGTGTAGTTCGTCAACTATAAATTTCACTTTTAATTTATAAAAAAAAATTATTTAATATTGAATTGAACATATTTTGGATAAAGTGAAAAAAGTCTTTTTGACAATTTTGAATATGATTCTAATAGCAAACATATATGAGTGACGTCTCATATATACTCTTTACGGTGAGGACTTGAATATGACATTTTCTTAATCTCATGTCTCAGAATTTTTTTGTATGATAATAATATGCCAACATGGTAAATTTAGTACCTCCATGATATATTGGTATACTTAAATGTTAGGGTTAATGTATTTGTCTGACCTGAACTTTTCACATGATAAACATCATGTTCAAACTTTTCGATTTTTAACATCATGTCCTGAACAGTGAACAATACACCAAAGTAACGAAATTGGCTGAATCCGAAAATTTGACCGTTATCTTGGACGGTCAAACGCATTGACTAACGGTCAACACACCATGTCACCGCCAAATCATCACCTTTCACTTAAATTTTTTTATATTTTCCACCTATTACTATTTATTTTTTTCATTTTTAATAAAAAATTAAAAAATGAATTTCAATTTTTATTCATTTAAAAAAAAATTAAAATCAATTTTCAATTTTTTTATTCATAATGAATAAATAAATAGTAATAGGTGAAAAATATAAAAAAAATTAAGTGAAAGGTGCTGATTTGTCGGTGATGTGGCATGTTGACCGTTAGTCAACGTGTTTGACTGTCCAAGATAACGCTCAATTTTCGGGTTTGGCCAATTTCGTTACTTTGGTGTATTGTTCAGGCCATGATGTTATAGATCGAAAAGATTGGCCAGAATGTTTATTATGTGAAAATTTCAGATCATACAAATATATTAACCCTAAATGTTACATGACACCACGATTACTATGTTTTTTATAATATATGAAAGTGAATGTTATTTTATGAACATAATTAATTTGTAATTCAAGTTAAAACGAATGAGATATAATCCATTACAATTTGATGAAAAAGTGGTTATGCATAAATTTGGGTTTATACATTTAAGTTGTTATTGCCAAAAATTCACAACTATTGTTTTTTGTTTCCCAAACAATTTAAAGAAGAATTTGCTTACATGTTTCCACAAGTTGTTATTTGCAAACAATCCACTAACATTCGTAGAATTTCCTTTCTCTTTCCAACCTCATTTCTCTAAAAGCATAGCCCACACAAGTATTTGTATTTTGACTTCAATCAAACCAAAATCATTCGCAATCCCATAAAATTATGAGAATCACCACTTTTTTATTCCACCTCATTGTCGGCGTGAGACTCATATGAACAACGTAAGTCGCCACGTTTTTGCATATGCTCATATTTAAAATTTTCTCAAATCTTTGTCGTTGTTCATTGTCATTCAACCAATTATAAATTGGAGAACTTCTCATTTTCCAATAAGACTCTATGCTCACAAGCTAAGTCAAAGTATGTTGTAAGATGTTATTAGAATGCCTATGAAGAAACTCAGTTGCATGAGACAATGAGAAAGCTCGAGTCGTTGTTCTTTTGATGATTGATAGTATAACTATAAGAAGAAATATTACAACTCCTCAAATCATCATTTTTATGGATTGTTGGTTACAGAGTTAATGTTTTACTACAACTACATATGTTGGTTGTGTTGGTTACAACCTACAATACTATGATAACTTGACCTATAAATCGAGTCCAACTTATCTGTTTTGCTACCTTTTAATTGATGCCTGGTTTACAATGGTGGGTTATATATTGTAGTGAAGTTACTCATTACGTTAGGTTTGGTTGGTGGTAATTAGTGATTCGAATTTGATACATTTGGTTGAGTATTACGAGGCATCATTTGACTACTCAGTTTCCTTATTACAATTTCTTTCAATATAAGATACAATAGTGTCTTTTTTGTAATTCTTAAGCTTCCATGTGACCCACGAGCTATCCCACTCAAAAAGTCTCTTTTTGTGATAAAAAAAAAAAAAAAAAGGAAAGACAACCTCCCTGCCTCAATTCAATTCCTTAATATTTTATTAGAGTCATATAGCAATGTTGATAATCATTTTTGGAAGTAAATAAGGTTGTATAATCAAATCTTCGATTTTAGTTCTACGAGTGGCAATATTGATCACTATTTTAATGTTAGGCACATAGTACCCGTGTTTATAATGGAGACATAATATGAAAATCGAACATAATTGATCAATAAATATGATAAATGAATTCTCTATGTGAAACTGTTGTGATCTCGTTGAAGGAAATGTTAAATGCTCATATATCTTGACCCGAACATTTAGATACGCCAAAGAATAACTCAATGAAAGGTCATGTGTACAAATTCAACTGAAAATATTGGTCAATTTAAGATTATATGGTTAGGAATATGATATTCAAAAGGACGACGACTCTGATAATAGATAATCAAAACAAATAAATATAAAAGAGAAGTAGCAACTCAATATTACTGAATAAAAAATGATAAATAATAAAAAAGGAAATATATACCGCCCATCAGGCGGGCATACGACTAGTCTTACATTATAATTGATGAATTATATCCTACAAGCACTTGTCAATTTATTTAGTTGGAACTAATTTAATCTAGTATGGACCATGGGTTGTGAAATCCTACCGGAATTCATACTGGACTCGTTGTTGGTAAGATATTTTGAGGTAGAACTGTGGTTCAACCGTTTTGTATGGTAAAATACCATTTTTGAAATAATAAAATATTGTTTTATTAAAAAACCATACCGATAAAATTAGTTTACTGTTTCGAAGTAATACCAGAATAAACCGAGATATACCGGTCTCTAAAATTTTATTCTAAAATTATTAATTAAAATTCCGTTCAATTTAAGGTCTCTCCACCTTAAGTGGTTTTAACCGGAAAATTTAAAATAAAAATAAAAATTATTAATTAGAAAAAAGTAGAATCAAGTGAGCTATACAAACATTTCTTTATCTACAAATTACTCCGCAAGATTCTCTTGAAAATACTAATGCAATCTAAACCAACCAAATTGTATTAGTTCTACATTTCTTTAGCTACAAATTATTCCGCAAGATTCTCTTGAAAATACTAATGCAATCTAAACCAACCAAATTGTATTAGTTCCAGATAGAGTGAATAACCCTTTTACTTAACTAAATTTGGACATTTGGATTTGAGTGGGTTTAGAAAATTTAGATATTAGGAGTGCGATTCAATTTATTCATCCTTCCTTATCTAAATTTAGACTTTTGGATTTGAGTGGGTCCAAAAAATTCAAATATAAGGAGTTAGATTCAATGACTTTTTATTTTCTCTAGTTTTCTTAATCGACTCTTATCTTTTTTGTTCTAACTTTGATTTAAAAAAATTGCACAGATGGAACGAGTTTGTTGTGGTCTATAAAATGAGATTCATTTTCAATGTATTTCGACAAAAAATTTCTTACCACTCGTTACCACATTTGTACCAGCCAGTACCACCTTCGTTTTTAACTCGAATTCTGAATTTTTTTGCACAGATGTAACGATCTATTGGATCAACAAATTTCAGGGAAAAAAAATACAGGACTATAACGTACGACTCAGTACCACCCTGGTATAGGAGTTGTAAATAGTGGTACACAATGATGAATATGGTAAATGACATATCGTATATTCCTGCAATCATGTATTTCAACAATCCTACAATATGTTATGTTCATACCACCATGGTACACTTTCGTACCAAGTGATATGATCTCATGTAGAGCCAAGCAGTACCACCATGGTATATACTGGTACTAAATGTCTCAATTTTTTTTGTTCCAGAAATATATAAAAATGAATATCATTTTGAAGAGCACAATTTATCTTATTTATCTGTGTAAAAAAATTTAAATTGCGACCTAAAACGAAAGAGATCTAGCATGTTAAATTTATAGGTAAAATGGTTATGGGAGAGCATCTCCATCCCATTGCTAAACCAACCTTTAGCAATTGTCAAAGTCTTTACTTTCAAAAAAAAAAAAAAAATTGTCAAAGTCTTGGTGGCAATTCAATTTGCAATTGCAATGGATGGAGAGGCAATTGCTTATTTAGAAAGATTGTCAAATTAGCAAGTCCTTTAGCAATGCCACATGTGTATATGTTTTTCTTTTTCCTTAGTAGTAACTTTTCAATGAAAAAAATATTTTGGTATTTAAAATAGTAGTTGGGCCTACAATAGCAATTGCAAACAAAATTTAGGGATGTAGGTGGTTTGCAATTCCTTTAAGAGAAATTGCTAAATTTGATGAGGTGGTTGTAGGGACCACGTTTGGCAATTGCTAGGGATGGAGATGGTCTTACATATATATTGATGTGGCGCTGATGTGGGAGGTAATAGAAGGTTATTGACCATAAGGTTAAACAGCTGATCCGCTTGTATTATCTTACAATAAAAAACTAATTTGGAGTAATACATATAGTTTATGTGAAATTGATTTTATTAGAAAAGGGGAAATAAATTGAGTTCCACTTTTTGTTCCAAAGATTTGAGTTCCGCGGGATCATGCCGGTTTTATCGCATGAGAGGCGAACAATTAGGTTTATATTCTATTCTTTTTTATGTTTTTCAATTTCTTTATTAGGATGCCCAATTGAACCAAAACAGGCCGGTTATTTCCAAGTTCGACCCAAAATATCGGCCGACATGGGAATTTGAAGATTCAGTACATATCGTTCCGGGCCGCCTCTGGTTCAACGGTTGACAGTTCGGTATCACGAACCATGGTATGGACTATGTATTGACAACCTTATATGAAGAATTCAGAGATGTTTAAAAATGTGCTCGTAATAAATGTTAAGACAAGGAATGCAATCAACTTTGATAGATTCAAAAGAAGAGGTAACAATTTAAGAACACAATTTAAAATGGCTACAATTTTTTCTTACATATTGGCTATATAAATTAAATTGAGATAAATCATCTATCATTCCTCAAATTGAAAATGCGTTGTCGACAAACATGACACGTAATTTTCACGTTAAGCCAATTGTCAATACAAGCTACATGAAACATGTGCTTGCACACGGGCATTATTCTGCATGGCTCTCCCCCATTGTAATCCTCCAAGCAAATCGCACATTCTGTAGATGTGGTCTCTAACCCAAAGCTTCCATACTCAACGCAGGGCAATTCCATCATCACCCTCCTATGACGACGTCTTCTTCTTCTCTCGACTCCTTCCTCGAGATCAGACTCAATTTCTAGGCCACGACCGTTTTCTACCACCCGCCAATAAATGAAGTCGTAAAGGATGTAAACTATTACCACAATTAATGAAGCCGCCACAACACAAATGATCGTCATGCAAACTAACAAAAGGATTGCAAAGACCATGATAGCCACAAAATGAGGATGGAGATAGTTCCCCGAGGCAATACTAGTGATATTCTGCGACGTCATTCTGATTGTTCTCACCATTTCTGGTTCTTTGTGTTGTTGTATTATTATTAGTATTGGCTAATGATGATGATTTCACAAGGTGAGAGCTATGAATAATCAAATGCAGTAGACATTGTCTTTATATATTTAAGAAAAAAGTAGTTCTTCCTATTCAATATGTGTATTGATATGCGCTATGAATTTCACCAATTGGTTAATCATACGATGAAACAAATATTAGTTTGATTGCAGATTAGCTAATATGTTTCATTGGCACAGGTTACAAAATATATAGAGCCATGCACATAATTTACAGCTTAAATTCCATCCATGTTCTTCCTTGGTTGCCATTATGATTTAATTACTATTGGTTTTTGAACAAAAATTTTGTTGACCAGCCATTTCGTTTGAGATGAATTTTTTGTTGTAGAACAAAGTTCATTCTCGGTGTTTTCCCCGACTAGATTTCCTTATCAATTCATTTGTTAAAACTCGTAAACATAGGTTAGTTTAGTAGGCTAATGCTTATTTGTTTAGAAAAACTTCTCATGCTAAGTAAGAAATATTTGTAAGTATCAAATTCTTATCTCAAAATTTTAAATTACGTATTGAATTTAGGAATTATGCGCAAAATAGAACACTTACTAGCAAAATTCCATAAATACCCAACCCTTAACGTGTTTTCCAATCTACTATACTTTTACCCAAATCTATGACATCTTCAACTATTTTGTAAGCAGATCGCTGAAGACTAGAGCTATTTAGCAAAAAACCAATCATATGTCGCAATCAATTAATAAAAATTTAAAATTCTATGAGTTGTAATATTCTAGTAAAATGCGAAGGTTGGATCGATTTAAAAGTAAATCGCTATCGTGGAGTGCGACAAACCATTATCTCACTGGAGGCTAGCGATTCCTCCACTTGAGAATGCATATATCGCGTCCTTTGCCGCACCATTTAAGATGCATGATATCTTATCGCACGACTAAAAGTATACACATATCGTTGGACATGATAGCAATCTCGCTGTGATTGGTCCATTTAGGTTGACGCAAATTGTTGGCTAGCCACATGATTTGTGCCATGGGCCCTTCATCACGTGTCTCTAACACACTTACACACGTTGATGCTGCCTTCAGCTAAAATTACATGCCCACTCTTTCGTCTGCAAGCCAAGGATTTATTTTAGCAAGCTTTGTGGTTGCAGTTAATTATGATCTTCCACACTATAATTTTTCTTTTCTTTTACTTGTGATAATGACCTCCACGTAAAAACAAAAAAAAATCTCGGCAAACATTAATTCGCGTAAGGCCAACAAGTTATCATGAAATTTCCCCCTTGCAAATGGTTTTTGGTCAGGAACCTAATATTTCCCATCTAGAAATATTTGGGTGTGCCGTCTACATCCCTATTGCTCCACCACAGCGTGTTAAGATGTGTCCTCAAAGGAGGTTGGGAATTTATGTTGGATATGAGTCCCCGTCAATCATAAAATACTTAGAACCCTTGACGGAAGATTTATTCACTGCTCGTTTTGCTGATTGTCATTTTGACAAATCAGTTTTTCCAACATTAGAGGGTGAGAACAAACCGCCGGGAAAAAATATTTGTTGGAATGAATTATCATTATCTCACCTTGATCCTCGTACTAGACAATGTGAACTTGAAGTTCAAAAGATAATTCATTTACAAGGTTTAGCAAACCAACTGCCGGATTCTTTTACTGACCAGAAGAGAGTGACAAAGTCACACATACCAGCTGTAAATGCTCCAGTGAAAGTTGATATCCCTGTTGGACAATCTGAAATTGCAAATGAATCTAACCACGAATGAAGCGTGGTAGACCAGTAGGTTCCAAGGATAAAAATCCACGAAAAAGAAAAGGAGCTATGAATCAAGATGATCACATCGAGGATATGAAAGCTCAAGAAGAGACCCCAAGCATAACTAAGATAGTAGTTCCCGAAGAACATCAGGTACCTGAAGTTTTTGATAATGAAGAGATCTCAAACAATTATGTCTTGGATGAAAAATGTTGGAACCGAAGTGAAATAATCGTCGACGATGTTTTTGCTTACACTGCAGCGTTGAGTGTGATGAATGAAAATGAGGATCATGAACCAAGATCTATTGATGAATGCAAGACAAGAGATGATTGGCCAAAGTGGAAAGAGGCCATTAAGGCGGAATTAAAATCGCTTTCAAAGCGAAAGGTTTTTGGACCGATAGTCCTTACACCAGAAAACGTAAAGCCAGTGGGATACAACTTGGTTTTTGTGCGGAAAAGAAATAAAAAGGGTGAAGTTGTGAGATATAAGGAACGTCTTGTCGCACAAGTATTCTCACATAGATCTGACATTGATTATGAGGAGACATACTCCCCTGTGGTGGATGCAACTACGTTTCGATACTTGATTAGTCTGGCAGTTCGAGAAGGACTAGATCTGCGTCTAATGGATGTTGTGACAACCTATTTGTATGGATCACTTGAGAATTATATATATATATATGAAACTTCCTGAAGGATTCAGTTTGCCAGAAGCAAACAAAACACGTTATTGAGAAAAAATTTCCATCAAATTGAACAAATCCTGGTATGGATTGAAACAATTTGGACGAATGTGGTACAATCGTCTCATTGAATATTTGATAAAAGAAGGATACAAGAATGGCCCTATTTGTCCATGTGTTTTTCTAAAGAGATCGTGTAGTGAGTTTGTTATAATATCAGTATATGTTGATGACATAAACATCATTGGAACTCCCGAAGAGTTTCCAAAAGCAGTTGATTGCTTGAACATAGAGTTTGAAATGAAAGATTTAGGAAGAACAAAGTTTTGTCTTGGATTACAGATTGAACATTTGAAGGATGGTATTTTTGTGCATCAAGAAGGATATGTTGAAAAGGTGCTTAAGCGATTTTATATGGACAATTCACACCTGTTGAGTAATCCAATGGTTGTAAGATCATTTGATGTGAAAAGAGATCCATTTAGACCTCGAGAAAGTGATGAAGATCTGCTTGGCCCTGAAATGCCATATCTTAGTGCGATAGGAACATTAATGTATCTAACCAGTCACACACAACCCGATATATTGTTTGTTGTGAATATATTGGCAAGATATAACTCTTCTCCCACTAAAAGTCATTGGAATGGAGTTAAACATTTACTTCGTTACCTTCGAGGAACGACGGATATGGGCTTGTTCTATTCGAGTGCATCGGAGTTGGATTTAGTGGGATATGCAGATGCATGATATCTCTCAGATCCCCACAATGGTAGATCTCGGACAGGATATTTGTTCACTTGTGGTGGTACAACCATTTCGTGGCAATCCACAAAACAAACTATAACAGCCACATCATCCAATCATGCGGAAATCTTAGCAATTCACGAGGCAAGTCGTGAATGTGTTTGGTTAAGATCTATAATTCGACACATCAAAGAATCGTGTGGACTATCTCTAGGAAAAATGATCATGACGATCATGTATGAAGATAATGCAGCATGCATTGCTCAATTAAAGGAATGATACATTAAAGGAGATAGAACAAAACATATTCCACCCAAGTTCTTTTTCACTCATGATCTTCAAAAGAGTGGTGAAATAATTGTTCAAAAAGTTCGTTCAAGTGAGAATCTAGCAGATTTATTCACCAAGTCACTCCATGCTGCCTCTGGTTCAACGGTTCAACCGGACAGTCCGGTATCACAAACCATGGTATGGACTATGTAGTATGTACCATTGACGAAATTATATGAAGAATTCAGAGATGTTTAAAAATGTGCTCGTAATAAATGTTAAGACAAAGAATGCAATCAAATTTGATAGATTCAAAAGAAAAGGTAACAATTTAAGAACACTATTTAAAATGGCTACAGTTTTTACTTACATAATGGCTATATAAATTAAATGCAGATAAATCATCTATCATTCCTCAAATTGAATATGCGTTGTCGACAAACAGGACACGTAATTTTCACGCTAAGCCAGTTGTCAATACAAGCTATATGAAACATGTGTTTGCACACGGGCATTATTCTGCATGGCTCTCCCCCATTGTAATCCTCCAAGCAAATCGCACATTCTCTAGATGTGGTCTCTAACCCAACGCTTCCATACTCAACACAGGGCAATTCCATCATCACCCTACAATACTTCCTCTGACGACGTCTTCTTCTTCTCTCGACTCCTTCCTCGAGATCAGACTCAATTTCTATGTCACGATTGTTTTCCACCACCCGCCAATAAATGAAGTCATAAAGGATGTAAACTATTACCACAATCAACGAAGACGCCACAACACAAATGATCGTCATGCAAACTAACAAGAGGATTGCAAAGACCATGATAGCCACAAAATGAGGATGGAGATAGTTCCCCGGGGCAATATTCATTCTGATTGTTCTCGTCATTTCTGGTTCTTTGTGTTGTTGTATTATTATTGGCTAATGATGATGATTTCACAAGGTGAGAGCTATGAATAATCAATGTAGTGGACATTGTCTTTATATATTTATGAAAAAGTAGTTCTCCCTATTCAATATGTGTATTGATATATGCTATGAATTTCACCAATTAGTTAATCATACGATGAAACAAATATTAGTTTGATTGCAGATTAGCTAATATGTTTCATTGACACAAGTTGCGAACTAAAGGTTGATATATATATATTTTTAGAGCCATGCATATAATTTACAGCTTAAATTCCATCCATGTTCTTCCTTGGTTGCCATTATGATTTAATTAATATCGGTTTTTGAACAATAAATTTTGTTGACCAGTTATTTTGTTTGAGATGAATTTTTTTGTTGTAGAACAAAGTTCATTCTCGGTGTTTTCCCCAACTAGATTTCCTTATCAATGGATTTGTTAAAACTCGTAATCATAGGTTAGTTTAGTAGGCTAATGCTTATTTGTTTAGAACAACTTCTCATGCTAAGTGAGAAATATTTGGTAAGTATCAAATTATTATCTCAAAATTTTAAATTACGTATTGAATTTAGGAATTATGCGCAAAATAGAACACTTACTAGCAAAATTCCATCAATACATCAATACCCAACCCTTAACGTGTTTTCCAATCTACTATACTGTTGCCTAGGGCGGCAAACGAGTCGAGCTTTTGCCCAACTCAAGCTCGAAAGAGAATTTCTAAGCATGTGCTCGACTCGAACTCGCGACGAGCTAAAAAAATGAAGCTCGATCTCGGCTCAATAAAAAAAAGTTTAGCTCGAGTTTAACTCGACAACAGCTCATCAAGGAGCTCAACAAGCCCACCTCATCGAGGCCACCTTTAAGTTACTCGACTTTATATGTGCTTTCACAACCCAATATTCCTTTGGACGGCTACTATGTAGCCATCTTGGACCCAGAAGAGATAGCAAACTCGTATCGCATTTCAAAAAGGTCACATGTTATACATATCTCTTTATGATTTATTTTGGGTGGATAGTCCCATCACTATTATATAATTGGTGGAAACATGAGATCTAGTTTGCCCACCGATGCGGTACAAAAGAGATAGAAAAAGCAGCATCCCACCATTAGTGCCACCTTCATCCGAAGCAGCTTCAAAGTTCCCACTAGCTATCGTCCAATTCGCTAGCACGAGTTCCCCTTTACTGCACCTCCACAAAGTTGCCACACTGTGCCTCTGCTTATTACTACTGCGAAAATAATTTAAAGAGTCGTTGTTGGAAGCTTCGTCCAACTCTACGAACCCTCCATCTTCAACTTCATCGTATATTGTAGAAGGTAGCATATCTTGTCTGAAGGTGGGGTGGATGATAAGGAATACATGTCCTAGTAATCAGAAGGCATCTGAGTGTACGACCAAGGAAGTTACAAATGATCTTTCGATAGAAAATTAGTTATAGAAATGGTTCTGATTCTTTTGAATTGAAATGTTCAAAGTTCTGAAACATGACTCAATTGTGGTTTCTACTATGATTTTTACAAAGGATGAAGTCAAGTTCATAATTCAAGTTCATCTACTTTACCTTTACATAGGCAATTGGGGGAATTGGAGTAGACAGAGGCCTAACAGAGGAATTGGAATCGGGAATGAGAATCTATTAATTAGCAGTTACTAGAGGGCATAGAGATGGATTGGGTTCACTTTAAGAAATACTTAGAAACTTCTGGCATGGCGTTGCATATATGTGTTGATAAGCAACTCTACATTGGAAACTTTTAATCAAAGTATTTTTTTTTGTTATATTTAAACTAGCTACGAAAAAGAAATCTCATCTTCTTAACACATTATCATTGTTTGTTCATACGTCTCATGCTCTCTTATAGTAATCAAAAGTCAAACCACACTGATTAGTAAGATATGTAGCATAACCAACACACGAGGCTTGTTGTAGTAGTATTATCACTAGTATTGAACCTGAAGGTCTCATGTTCGAATCCTTTCAATGACACCTCATTCTAAAATTCAACCTATGTCATCATTATCTTAAAAGAAACATACGAGTACGACTTATATCACTAACAATATGTAATCTAAACAGCCTACGGGTTATGTGACTAACAGAGGTCTGTCCGAGAGCTACGTAATGAGAAGCTAGTGAATTGGTTTGCGTGCCATACTATCAAGTTGACTTATTAGTTTAAATTGACTTAAGTTTCAAGCAACAATATCAAGTTGTCTAATGAGTTTTAATCGAGTTAACTCTTGATCCATACTATCGAGCCAGCTCACGAACCTGGCTCAACGAGCCAACGAGTCGAGCTAGCTCGCGAGCCTGACGAGTTGGAGAGACTCTGGCTCATGCTCGGCTCATTAACAAATGAGTTGGCTCACGAGCCAGCTCGTTAAAAATTGAGCCGAGTATCAAACGAGTTTTTCACGATCTGAGCCTCGAGTTGCTCGCGAGTAGCTTGGCTCATTTGCAGCCCTACTTTTGCCCAAATCTATGACCTCTTCAACTATTTTGTAAGCAGATCGCTGAGTACAAGAGCTATTTAGCAAAAAAACCAATCATATGTCGCAATCAATTAATAAAAATTTAAAATTCTATGAGTTGTAACGTTCTAGTAAAATGCGAAGGTTGGAGTGATTTAAAAGTAGATCGCTATCGTGGAGTGCAACAAACCATTATCTCGCTGGAGGTTAGCGATTCCTCCACTTGAGAATACATATATCGCGTCCTTGTCACACCATTTAGGATGCATGATATCTTATCGCACGACTAAGAGTATACACATATTGTTCGGCATGATAGCAATCTCCCTGTGATTGGTCCATTTAGGTTGACGCAAATTGTTGGCTAGCCACATGATTTGTGCCATGTGCCCTTCATCGCGTGTCTCTCTCTCCCAAAAATTCCACATTTGCCTCAAGGCCACTACAATCCTGCCCTTCATCCATCACAACCTCCTTGCCCTTCTCATTTCCTGTAGTAGATACCATTTTAATTGTTCTCTTCCCTCATGACCACCGAAAGTTTCCTCATACTACCACTCACAAGAAGAACAAATCATTGGGAGCCAACAATACTCCACTGACATAAACATCTCCTCTGTACCATTAGGTGTTAAACTAATATGATCAATCAACAGAGAGGTTGCAGGCAATTCAACACATATCATAGCACTACCCACTCTGTACCCCTTTTATTGTAGGTAAATCCATACATAAGAGCTTAACAAGAATAATAGCAAGATGGCCTAGTCCTTCTCCCAAATTCAATTTTGTTGAGATGCCTAGAAGCCTGACCCAGACCAAAATTATTGAGTTGTCGATCTTCAGAGGTTGAATTCTTGGTTTCCGTCTTTATAGAGAGACAATAATCTCATGGCAGTTCCATGGCCTGCCCTAAAACACCCAATTGCAGGTGTCTGCCGATGGAAATTAGAAAAGAACCAAATGTCTCCAAACCCAACAACTCGAATGTCACCCTTGCAACCCCAAATCTAGTTCACCCACTAACGAAGCATACCCAATGCTAGTGTTTTACCTAGTAACTGTCCCACTATACTATTTGCCCTTCGTTGAGCTCTTTTGTCGACCACCTTCTTTAGAATTCACACCAAACCATTCACAATCTTCGGCTCGGAGTATTGCAGTCGCCCTTTTTCTAGCACTCCGAAGAGAGATACCCACGAGCGGCCGCCACCAACGACACCTGTCGAGGCACCACCGACGACATCTGCTAGGGGTGTTCCAATGGTTACCATGGTAATTACCAAACCAAACAAGCCAAAATTTTATTAACCATGGAATACAGTATCATAACCAAACTGTCCAAACCAATACAACAACCAAATTAACCAAACTAAAGTTTAATAGATTTGGTTATTTGGTTAACCAGATTAACCAATATAAACATCACATAATTAAATGAACAAATTTTCAGTTAATATATCAATTCACAATTTATATGATGAATAAAACATTACAATGAACACCTAGTTATAGTTAACCCTTATAAAAATACATGCAACTAATACAATCAACAGAAGTATTCACCTAACAAAAATATATGTCAATAGTATGGAGTTAATTAACTTTTGTGATTGTGTGAATTGAATTAGTCTCTTAGCAATTATTATAGACTGAAAAGACCTTTCTTTCAAATTTCATCTAATTTATCGTATGAGTTTTATCTAAATTGAGCATTTATATTTCATGGTCTAGATTCTATAAATACAAATATATAGTATAGGAACAATATTGAGCTTTATTGTTGATGAGTCCAAAAGGAAGGAATGTTTGGTTCTTGAATGGTTATGTTAAGTATTAAGCATGTGTATATAATAATATATGTTAGATATATTGATAATTACTTAACTGGTTAATTTTGTTTGATTGGTTAGGAGTGTCTGAAACCAAATCAAACCAACTAAACCAAACAACTAATTTTTTTAACTAAACCAAACTAATTATCCAAATTAACCAAACCAAATTAACCAAATACACCCGGTTAAAACGGTTACCACGGTAACCACACTGTTTGACACCCTAACAGTTGCCATCATATATCTTGTTTGAAAATGTACTAACCGTTTGATATCAAATGAATGACTTTGTAGAATTCATTGTCAAATGAATTCTTGTGTTTGGTATGTCTTATTAGATTCTTTAGAATTAAAATGAATTGAATTCTCAAACCATGTTTGGCATACATTCAGAATTGAATGAAATTAAAAGTTTCCAACAATACCCTTATTTATTTCTTGTAGAAATAATATTCATTGAAAATCCATCTTCTAAAACACGCAAGTAACAAAGTTAGTATCCAAACATTTGGAAATAATAGGAGAGTTGGTTCCATTGTCAAATAGCAGGTTGTCGCTTAGCCCACATAATGGAATTTGGAGCAGAATGCAGAGTTTACGAGAAACTATATATATCAGGTTAACATACCAGCGAAAGGGTAGGGTTAGGCATGCAGAATCTATGTATTGTCGTCTGTAGAAGTAATATAGTTAATAAATAAGGATAATCATTTCATTCTATTGTAATCAGTGAAATACTTGTGTAATTCATTTGGAAATTCCATCTCAATTCTGCGGAATTGCTATAACTAGCTCCAATTCTGTAGAATTCAAAATGAATTCTTTTAAATACCAAATAAAAAATTACATTTCAAATTGAATTCCTCAAAACTTATGGAATTCATTTATACAAAACGGTATGGTAGAGATAAAATGGTAGTGAGAGAAATTTGTTAAAACACATAAATGAGTGATTTTTATTTGTTAATAAACTATTATTTAACAATAAAAAAAGAAAAAGGATAAAGAGGTAATTTTATTTTTCATTTAGGGCGCTCATAATAAAATTTAGGACGAGGATTAGTATTCTCATTTTTAGTACCCTAACCAATCTTTGTTTGAACCTTAAGTTATGTGCGCGTGCAAGATAAAACATTTGTAATGATTTTGTACAAATACATAAGTTGTGTGATCATTTAGGCTAATTACCCTTAATATAGCCAACTTGACCCGGGTTCTCTCTCCCTTAAACCCTAGAAAACGATCCCTCCCTGCATCTGGTCCTTTAAGCAGTACGGCGAAACTGAGAAGCCGCATTCCTATTCACCGGCCGACATGGAAGCTTTTGCGATGGACGTCCCGACTCCGGACATCTCGCACTCCAGCGATTTTTGCGACTCTGTTCTATCTCAGTTCTCTTCGTCGGGGCAAGAGGACGACCAGCATCTGTGCTCAGTCATCGGAAGTATCTCTCAGGAGCTAAGAGACCAGAATCAGCCCTCCAGTCCGGTGGCCTACTTAGGTGCCATCTCCACCTCCCTGGACCGCGTGTTATCTGAGTCCAACCCCCCTACTCACTCGGTTGATGCTCTGGTCACTCTTCTCTCCCTCCTTCTCCCCCATATTTCTGTACCAATTTTGAGACGTTACAAAGAATCTTTGTCATTGTCCGACAGCGTTCTAAAGGTTCTGAGATTGAATTCAGCTACCAACGTCGACGTTGTTTCTGCGGTTAAATGTGTTTCACATCTGTTGATGATTGAAAACAGTGCCAATTGGGTGAATGATGTGGAGCCGCTCTACGCAGCTCTGCTAGGGTTTATCGCGGATTCCCGTCAAAAAGTTAGAAAGCAAGCGCACGCGTCGCTCCGCGACGTCTTACAGCGATTTCAAGGGAAACCATTGCTTGCACCAGCGAGCGATGGGATCAAGAAGACGCTGGAGCGGTTCATGCTTCTAGTCGGAGGTTCGGACGCCTCTGGAACAGAGAGTTCCAGAGAAGGAGCTCAGCACATCCTTGACCTTTTGGACGCTCTCAAAGATTGTCTGCCTCTTATGTCGCCGAAGAGTGCTACTGAAATTCTCAAATATTACGAGACGCTGCTTGGGCTTCGCCACCCAGTTGTTACTAAGCGGATAACGGATAGTTTGAATATGTTGTGTAGACACCCAAGTGTGGTTGTCTCGGCAGAAGCATTGCTTAAGCTGTTATGCTTGTTATCAACTGCAAATGAAACGTCCGTGGATAATATTACTGTCACAGCTCGCATGCTCGATTTTGGGATGCGAAAAGTATATGCTTCGAATCGTCAAATTTGCGTTGTCAAGCTACCTTCGGTGTTCTCGACTCTCAAAGGTCGAATCTCATCCTGCCCTCCTTTTATTTTTTTTTGTTCTCCCAGCTAACTGCCTTTTGTTTGACTGGTTATTTTTGTTTGTTTGTGTCTGGCAGATATTATGGAGATGGAGCACGAGGAGGCTATCTTTGCAGCCAAAGAGGCATTAAAAAGTTTGATACAGAACTGCATCGATGATGATTTGATTAAGCAAGGAGTTGATCAGATTAGGATGTACACTAGAAAGTCTGAGCCAACTGTGATTGAAAAACTGTGTGCAACCGTCGAAAGCTTGCTGTCGTATAATTTTTTTGCTGTTTGGGACGTGGCCTTTCAAGTTGTCTCTGCCATGTTTGATAAGTTAGGTAGGCTCATAACTTATCTGTGCTTCGTCTCTGTGTTTTACAATTCGATTCGCAGGGTCTTATCTGTATTCGGTAGGAGACCTAAGAGTTAGGCTTCGCTTTCCTCTCCTTTATATTGTTGATTGGTCAGATGATTTTGTGAATTATTATCTTCTCTCCTCCCGACTAACAATTGACAACCAACAGGTTCTTATTCACGAGACTATCCCTCATATTTTATGAATGGCACTCTGAAGAACTTGGCCGAGATGGAGAAGTTGTCTGATGATGATTTTCCTTATAGGAAGCAGGTAATCACCACACGGGAAAATTTAGCTGACATCCTGTTAATTTGAGTGGCTTCTTGACAGCTTAACTTTTAGAGTAGTTAGGGGTAGGAAAAATGAACAGAAAAATAAAAAATCATTTGAAGGTGGATACTTAGGATTGTTATGAAGGGACAGGGCAATAGTAATTTTATCTTTTCAATGACATCTTCCTGTGTAACCCACCAATCTATCAGAATTTAGTTAGCTGGTGAAGATGGGCAATTTGGTTTCCAAATCATATTTGTTGGAAAGCTGACGATCTGGTTTTAAAGGATGATTCGGCATTCTCCTTCAAAAGGTTATACCTAAAGTCTTTACCTTTTTTGTATCCGACTCTTTCCTACCTGTTATACTTTCTCATTGTTTTACCCTTAGTCACTCAGTGATCTTCTAAGGGACCAACATGCGACTTTCTACTGAGACTTAATGTCAAATTTATTCGGGGATCTTTCAAATATTAAGTTGGCAACCACTGCTGGCAATACCTAGGTTATGCTGATTGATGAATGTCTGGAGAGTTCATCTAAAAACAGATTCAGGGTAAAAGGTTTTATACATATTTGGGTTTTAGTATGGTTTTTATTTCCTCAGCTGATCCTTCCAAATAAATTCAGATTCCTTGGTGCCTCAACTTTTGTCACCAGTAACAGTGTGCTCCCATTGAGCAATTTTTTTTTTCTATCATCTGATGCATTGATTGTTTTCTGGTTTGCAGTTGCATGAATGCCTTGGTTCTGCTCTTGCTGCAATGGGCCCTGAGTCTTTTTTGAGTGTCCTACCTCTAAGACTGGAGGCTCATGACCTATCTGAGATCAATGTGTGGCTCTTCCCCATTGTCAAGCAATATACAGTTGGTGCCCAATTAAGTTTCTTTACAGAGACAATTTTGAGTAGGATTAGTGCGATGAGGCAGAGGTCTTGTGAGGTACTATACTTACTGCATGAACTATTTTTGCTTCTCATTGATGGAGCGTTTGATGTGTAATTATGCTCTTTTGCAGCTTGAGCGTGAAGGGCTGATTGTCTCTGCTAGAAGTGTTGATGCACTTGCATACAAATTGTGGTCCTTGTTGCCGTCATTTTGCAACTATCCGTCAGATACTGCAGAAAGCTTCAAGGATTTGGGAGAAGCTTTGTGTACTGCCCTTCGTGAAGAACACGATGTCCGCGCAATACTATGTACTGCCTTGCAGAATCTTGTTCAACAAAACAAGAAAGTTCGGGAAGGATTTAATGATCTGGCTGATGCTGAAGTTGATATAGCTAAACAGAGAGCTCTTAGCAACTACACCCCTGAAGTTGCTAAGCATAATTTGAGTGTGCTGCGGTCATTTTCTAGCAAGCTTTTACCTATTTTGTCAGGAATATTTCTCGACTCTGAAAAAGATGATGGTGGTTGTTTGCAGGTGATTCTATAATTTGTTTTCAGATTCCATGTTAACCGGAATCTTGTTGCGAAAGTTCAGTCTTGAAGTTGATTAGAAAGGAAGGTGACTACTCTGGTACTGTTGCTAACATCATTAGATGTCTTTTGGTGTTTGGTTGTCTGCAGTCTACAATATCTGATTTTGCTTCAATAGCTGCTGAAGATGAAAAAACAAGGATAGTAGTTTCAAAGGGATTCTCAAGGACCATGAAAATGCTTCGGAAGACTACCCAACAAGCAGCTGAAAGATCCAGAAGTTCTAATGCTATGTTGGTTGATGATTCAACAGTTGAAAAATCACCATCGATTGAAAGGTTGCTTATTTCACTGAATGTCCTATGGGCTGTCATTGTTCTGTGTATTCTGCACAGCTAGCAGCACAATTACACCCAAGTCTTTTCCAAAAAGAACAAGTGACTTGAGTTTAAATATTTATACTCTTGTTAACTTTTTTTTCTTAATCTTCATTGATTGCAGGGCTCGACTGTTTGATTTGGCAGCTGCACTGCTCTCCCCAGGTTTGAAAGAGGAAGAGGTTGATGTTTTGTTTAACGCGGTGCAGCCTGCATTGAAGGTCTGAGAGTTTTGAGTTAGTTTCCTGTGCGGGTGTTCAATGGCTTGGTTTGTCTGAAACAGAACATTGGCTAATTGAACTAATCTGCAGAAGATTATTATCCAGGAAACTGAATTGACGGAGCTTTGCTTCAAACTTCAATGCTTGGGGGTCATGGACTATTCATACTGTAGACCATGGCGAAATAGTTTTATATGTTTGTTAAAGAAAGATAAGCTAACAAAACAGTACCAACCATCTTTTAGCAGAGTTGATGCAATTTGGTCTGACTTATTATGAGCTCGACCTTACTAATCAGCTTACTTCTTAGGGCTTCAGAGTTCTACAGTTTGCTAATTTATCATGCATTAGACATGCTTCACCTTCTGAGATATTCTTGGACTGCTGCCAGTATTATAATTCCAGAACTTTGATAAAGTAGCTACTACCAATTTGCACGCTTTATTGCAGAGTTTGATTGATTTTACTGAAATTGGGGTTCTAGGAACTAATCTGAGTCTGATGTTGAAATCTTAACCTCTATAAGTTTAGTCTCTTTTTTGGTTTCAACAGCCATTGGACACCCTAAGTTTTGCATACACATTTCTTTCTGGTTATGTATACTGGTGATGTGATGCTGGTGGATGTCACTGTTTAATCTGCAGGACACTGAGGGTTCAGTTCAAAAGAAAGCATACAAAGTACTTTCTCGGATTCTACAGGTACACTCCTGACTGTGCTGTTCGGGTTTGTTTACCTCGTGTTTCAGTAATTATCTTGCTGTAAAATATTATTTGTAAACTTCTTCTGGCATGTGCTTAGAAATAGAAACATAATTATGCTCAGTTGCTTGTTCGTTGTTCAAATATAGACACCTAAAATATGAACTCAAACTGAACATTTTCTGCTAAAGAAACTAAACCTAAATGGTATGTCTAGTTGTGAACAATGGCTTGGTCCAGTGGTATTATCTCTAGTCTTAAACTTGGAGGTCCTAGGTTAGAATTCTTAAGTAGCATCCAACTATAAAAACCAAACTTGTAATATCACCCTTGCCAAAAAAAAAAAAAAAAAAAAAAAATAAATATAGGCTAATGATTTTAGAATGAGAAGTTCATTTAATTATAGAAGTTGATGGCATAAGTTTCTATCACAAATTAATTGAACTAGTGTTGATTTCTGTTTATTCAAGTGCTGCCCCATGTCTGGAACACATTACATCTTGACCTGTAATACTGAGTTTTCTTCCCTGTTCGAGTACAAATCAAGTCTCTTGAATTATATTTACTCTCACATTGTGGTTCTGTGCGTTAAAGTTTCTACTATCTACCTCTGACTTGTGTTTTGCTTCTTTGTTGATGTCTTCAGAATGGGTTTCTTTCATCAAGGTTGGATACACTGCACGGAACTATGATTGAACTGCAGCCCCATTGCCACTTTTCTGCGACGCGGCACAGGCTCGATTGTCTGCAGCATGTGATAGCTCATGTTTCCAAGGTTGGATGCTAGATTCATGCCTCATGACTGGAGATGCTCTTGACATGAACCTCATAGTTGATTGCTTTTATCGTAATTGCAGCAAGACTTTGATCAGAGACGGCTAGACATCCTTTCTTCCTTCCTTCCTGAGATAGTACTTGCTTTGAAAGAGGTACAGTCATCGACTGGAGCTGTGGCTTTGTCTCTTTGTTTTCGGAAAAGATGCTTGAGGGATGTTTACGAATATGTGGAATCAGTAAACATGTCATTTCCACAGTTGGGTTTTCTCTGTATTGTTTCCATAGGATGAGTACTCGGATATGTTTGCATAATAATGATTCTCCTAGGCACTTGGTTCTAAGGATGCAATCAGTGTTTGTTATCAATGAACTAGAATATCTATGTATTTCTTCTACTTCAAAGGATGGCTTGGTGGATTTTGGGTTTCTGCTAAGAAGTTGAGAACAAATTAGTGGAACATTTGTATCTTATACTGGATGTCCCCCTTTATTTTTCAAGAAACCCATTGGGTTTAGAACTCGGGATTTACTATAATTCCTGAGAAATATTTGCCTTAATCAATTTGGTAACCTATATCTTTGCTTTTCTGTCGCATGGTGGATACATTACCTCCTCTCTATAATGCGGTGTAAGAGAAATGTTCTATTCCTGACTCTCATTGTCTCTTGTGTGATGATTTAATGCAGTTCCACATGTTTGATGCTGGAAAACTATTAAGTTAGAATGTAACAAATAACTTGAATATTACACTTGAAAATATGAGCATGTTTCTAGAGGTTTATTGCCACTGACTCATTGTTTCCTTTTGATGGCTGTGGCAGGCTAATGGAAAAACAAGAAATAGAGCGTATGATTTACTTGTCCAGATTGCCCGTGCATTTGGAGATGAAGAGTGTGGTGGGAAAAGAGAGTACATGTACCAATTTTTTAATATGGTACTGATGTTCCTAAGTCTTCTCTAATTTTCTCTGTGATGGTTCTTGATGGTCGTATGTGGCATTAGGGCTTTTGGTATCAATTATATTATGTTATTGCTGAAGCCAGCTTAAACAAGATATCGTTGTTCTTACATTTCTTACACACGAAGAAGGTTCTGTTTAACTTTTAATCGAACAGTCGAACATAGACTTATTGCTCTTGTAGTATAATTAGTTTAGTACATGTTGAAAGTTGTGTTTATTTACTTGTTCTATTGTCACAGGTGGCTGGAGGCCTTGCTGGAAAAACTCCTCATGCAGTCAGTGCTGCAGTTAGAGGGTTAGCCCGTCTAGCTTATGAATTTCCGGGTCTTATCTCTTCAGTTTACCAGTTGCTTCCAACCACTTTTGTCCTCCTCCAGAAAAAGAACCGTGAAATTGTAAAGGTGAACTCTTTGATTTCCGCAGCCTGGTCTGTGCAATTTATGATGAATCTGTTTTACTAATAATTTTCACTCTTGGTATCTTACCCCGTTTTGGTTATGCTGTTTTTTTATCATGACTTTCGTAAGTTGATTTCTGTGATGCAGGCTACTTTGGGCTTGTTGAAGGCACTAGTGAAGAAGTCATTGGCTGATGAACTACAGATGCATTTAGGAAGCATCATCGAAGGCTTGATGGGGTGGCAAGATGATACGAGTAAGAGTCATTCCAAAGCAAAGGTAGTTTTTCCCACTTTATTTTGTTCCATTGGATAGAGTAGTTTGTACTAATGGGTACGAGGTGTTAGTTTCATCATAATAATGTTAGCTAGTTTTGCTATATGTTTTTCTTTCCTGAAATTGGTGTATGTCAATGAGCGAAATGTAGTCGAGCACAAAAGCTTGTTTGTATGGAAGGGCTGTAAATGTTTATGCAAATTGACTAGCATATGTTAGAATCCAATGCAGCATGATGTAAGTGGGTGATTGATTCAGTTACCAAGTCTCTTATGTTATCCATTATTTGCTTGTGGTGATACTATGACGACCAGGTTAAGGGTATCCTGGAAATGCTGGTGGGAAAATGCGGTCTGGATGCTGTCAAGAGGGTGATGCCTGAGGAACATATGAAGCTTCTCACTAATATCCGGAAGGTCAACTATTAATTGCTTCTATTAGTATGCTAGTGTGCAGTTAGTTAACTGTTTTCTTTTATTTGTCCGTTTCTATCTCTCTTCTCTAATGAGTTTTATAAACAGACAAAGGATCGAAGAGAGAAGAAGCTGCTTGCATTGAAGTCAGAAACTAGATCTCATTTGTCTGGAGCCACTACTACGTCGGGGTATCATGATGTCAGATTGATAGTTAAGTTCAATGGCGATTAAGGTACACTTAGCTAATTATTCATTTTTCAGGTTAAGCAGATGGAACCATACAAGAATATTTTCTGATTCCGGAGATGAAGGAACAGAAGATAGTGACGTTGATATGAAGACTCTGGTTTCTGGTGGAAGGAGCAAGGCTTTCTCACTCCTGAAGTCTAAGGCCTCTACATTACGGTCAGTGCACTTTTTATCTCTTTTTCTACTATATATGTGGACTAGAGTTGAATATACTTAATACGCATGAGAAGGATATTACCTACTGTTCTGTTGCCTAAAAATTATTCACCTACCCAGGTCAAAGCGAAGAAAGCACATATCGGACAAGAGTTTGCCGGAAGACTTATTCAATCAGTTGGAGGATGAACCACTTGATTTGCTCGACAAGAACAAAACTAGAGCATCTCTTAGAAGATCTTCCGAACTTGGCAAAAGGAAATATGAAGTAGATGATGATGAGCCAGAGATAGACCCTGAGGGGCGCCTCATAATTAATGACGAGGGAGAAAATCCGAGGAAAGTGAGGAACTCCTCTGCTGTAGAAGATCCGGATGCAAAGAGTGAAGCAGGTGGTAGTCGCTTATCAAGGACGACGCAGAAGCGGAGGAAGACATCTTCAGAAGGCCGTGGCTGGGCCTATACTGGGAATGAGTATGCCAATAAGAAGGCTGGTGGTGACGTGAAAAGGAAGGGTAAGCTTGAGCCATACGCATATTGGCCTCTTGACCGTAAGATGATGAGCCGTAGGCCCGAGCATAGAGCAGCTGCAAGGAGAGGCATGTCCAGTGTGGTGAGACAGACCAAGAGGCTGGAAGGCAAGAGTGCCTCTGCTGCTCTTTCCATGAAGCTAGGAAAAATCACGGCCCAAAAGAAGGGTTCTAAAAGGAAGAGTGGTTTGTAGGGTTAGATGCTGTTTCTGCTCACTAGGAGGATCCGCGGCCTTATTACCCCTGGTTTATTGATATTGTTTTACTATGCTTTTTTGGATTGTTGTTCATCATAGACTGGAGAAGGTAGTGCTAGTTTGTATTTTATAACTGTACTGCAACAAGAGAAGGTGATGTATTGTACAGACAATGAGACAAAGTTGTAGGAAGTTTTGCCAAACAGAATGCATGTTGTTTGTTCTTCATCGATCAGCAATCAGGTAGCAGCAATATGTTGCCTGATCCTGTTCACTATTTATGCATGCAGAAGCAATTTCTAGCATGAAGGAAACCGTACCTATGATTATCTATGACTAGGATATTTTGTCTAGAAATAGAAAAAAAAATTATAGGTATATGTTGTTTTATTATATATGCACCTTTACTATTTTTTTTACATCAAACATGCCTCTGTATTTTGGAAAAATTATCAAACATGTTCTTCTGCTAAAATTTTCATCCATAAACTGTTAACCACGACCAAACTTTAGTTTGGGCCGCACAAATGTCTAAAATATCCCCAATAATTTCACTTCATAATTTTTTTTGGTTATTTTGTATAACCAAATAATCCTAATAATTTCACTTTGACGAGACTCAGAGAAATAAAACAGGGGACAACTGACATCTTCCCTCTCATTTGCCGATATCGGGTCGTCCTAAATCTTGGTTCAACCATGATTGACTATTTTTTCAATGAAATTTTTAACAGAAGGGCATGTTTGATAATTTTTCCAAAGTACAAGAGCATGGTTGATGTAAAAAATAGTATAAGGGCATGTTTGATAAAACGACATAATAGAGGGACATTATACCTATAACCCAAAAAAATTATATTATTTTAAGTGATGACTGATGATGATGCCTTAATCCTAAGTAAATAGCATGGAGTTAATTAACGAGTTGTAACTAATCATTCAGACTTGCTAACCAGCCCCCGGGACTTGCTTCGATCCTTGAAGAGGGTCATATGGGCTATGGCAGCGGCAGAAGTTTCAACTCGATGCCAGGAGTTTCAACTACTCACATCACATGTCAGTTTCTTATTAATAAGTTCTATATTTTTATTTTTGATTTATTTAGCATAATTAAGAACATTAAATATTAAGAAAAAAGATAGGTGAATACACCAATAACAAATTGACATGTGAATGATTGGAGCATCTGCATCCAACCAAGGTTGAAGCTAAGAATTTTCCGTGTTGGTTAGGTTTCATTTGTATATTTGGTGGAATTTGACATATCTTAACCAAACCCTTTGCATGGGCTCGTCGTGCACTTGTTCGGTCGAGAGAAACTTATTTGTCTTATAGTTTAGGTGCTTTAATTGTTTTTTTATTCATTGTTTGTTGCTTTGTCTGGTTCAATAATACGGCTTATTCGAGTGAGTTGTTTGAGCGTCATTTTGTGATTTATGCCACATTCGCTGCTCTCTAGTCCTCCCTCCATCTTTCTGTTTTAGTTGACTTTTGTCGCCCTGTATGCAGAAAAATGAAGAAAAAGACTAACTACACAAACTTAAGGGTATGCCTATGGTGGCATGCATGTCACCGTAACTTGCACTTTTAGGTAGACCTTATATAGGATTAGGTCGACCTAATATGTCGTTTCAGTTTTGTGAGGTTCAATAACGCGGTTGACCTTTTATAGCAAATGGTCGACCTCTTGGGAAGCACATGGATGACATGTACGACTACATGTGCCAGATTTCCACCTAGATGACTGGTATGTACGACTACAAGGGGCAAATGACCACCCAGATGAGCACACTGCATGTGACCGACTACCATAATGCTAGCAATACCAATGAAGAAAATGTGGATGAGGGAGAGAGGTGACAAGAGTAGGAACTCGACGATTTTAGATTGTGTGTTTTTATTGTTAAGTGTTAAAAAAGATTGTAGATTGATATTATGTGGTTTTAGATTTTAGTTATGTGTGAACAATTATGATTTGTGTTTTATTATATTTCTTGTTAGTTTGTTTAGTTGTTATATTATGAAGTTATGAGTCCTTGTTATCTTTATGACTGATTCTGTTGGTTTGAAACGTAATTTGTACGAGCAAAAGAACCACCCACATCGCTTGTAGAAGAGGTCGACCATTTGCTATAAAAGGTCAACCGCGTCGTGAGCCTCACAAAACTTAAACGACATATTAGGTCGACCTAATCCTATATAAGGTCGACCTAAAAGTGTAGATTAGGTCGACCTAATCATAAATAAGGTTGATCTAAAAGTGCAAGTTACGTTCACATGCATGTCACCATAACAAAGTCCCAAACGTAATATACCCAATCTTCTACAAAATTAACATAAGGTGATTAGAAGATCTTAGTCACATGATTAAGTCTAATTCAGTTATTTATTTAACTTTTCATCTAATGATTTCAATTAATTTTATAAGGTGATAATTATATTATTTATTTATAATAAAATAATAAAATAAACTGGTTCATGGGTAGGGATGGCAATGGGGCGGGTTTGTCTAAACTATCCCCATACGGCCATACCCATCTTCAAATATCCAAACCCATACCCGCCCCATACCCATGCGGGGAATGTTTTGCAAACCCATCCCCATACCCGTGGGTTTCGGGTACCCATGGGTAATACCCGTACCCGTACATCCAACATTATTATCCTAAAATTTACAAGAAAAGTTTTAATTACAACTCTAAACGTACCTATTATATCACGAATTCAACAAAACACGATCATTTTCTTAATACGGTTCAAAGAATATGATCCTAAAACATTCGTTAATACATAATATAGAATATAATATTTTTTTAATTATTATGTTCTAACTCTGATGCATCTACTAAGTAATAATTAACTAACATAATCTTGTTGACAAGGGGGAGTGAAAGAGTGAGGGAGAATTGAAGGAAATTAATTAGGTTTTGATTAAGGTGGCCACTCAATTGCATTTCTACTATTTATTTCCTCGAATTATCCTCATCATCGTTGATAGATTACAATTTGATCCACATATTTTTGTATATGTGAAGAAATTCTCTTGGTGGGGCGGATATGGGTATGGTATGGGGCGGGGGAGGCTAAAACCATACCCGCCCCATACCCATCAAACTTTTTGCGGGCTTTACCCATACCCACCCCATACCCAGTCAAAGCGGGAATTACCCGTGTTGACTGGGTCGAGTACGATCGGGTACCCGCGATCATGGATTTGATTGCCATCCCTATTCAATATTCATGGGTAGATATCCTTCCAACGGCCTTCCTCTCCACCGGGTGCAAGGGCGGAGAGCTAGGTGGGTCGTCGACCCTGTCGAGAACTCCGAAGTTACATACAAAACCTCTTAGAATAGTGGGAAATTACATACAAACTACACGTTATTATATAAGTTAACGTGAGCGAAGTAGTGATATAAGAAGTTGAAAATTTCATTTTAAGTTTATGTTCGTACGTAGTTCATTCATATGGATTTAACCCTTTTAATCATGTTTAGCTTTCACATTTTCTTTTACGAACCCTATATTTTCTAACAAATTATTCAAATTTTAAATCATTATATTTAAGCATTTTTTGGTTATACTATGATTTTTTTTTTCAAACGATAATATTGACAGACATTCAAAATTTTTTTTTTTTGCGAAGTCAATAGTTGAAAAACAATTACACAGGAAATAAGGAAAGCGCGGGAGTTGATTAATAGTCGAACTCCCGATGAGAGAGCTTTTTGTGCCACATGATGGGCAACCCTTTTGAGTCGACGAGAAACACAATAGTAAGAAACCCTGCTAAGCGAAGAAGCTAAACTCCGAACTTCCTCTAGAATAGCTCCACCCCGATGATGATGAAGATCACATCCCACCATCAGACGGACCAAGAGTTGAGAGTCCCCATGAAATTTAAAAGCACGAAAAATAATTTTTTTTAAAGCAAACAAAACATATCCTATCGCATGCATGGAAGCCTACGAAGCTGATACTTCCTCATTGACCACACTTGATCGCGCCATCAAACCATACACTGATATTTGTTTTGAACATATCATATAGTAATTATAATTCATAATGATTCTGATTATCGCAAATAATATAACGTGACATTATGATAATAAAAATACTAAAATTTTGTAGCATTTTATTTTTCCGTGATGATAACTTAAGTAACTGGCCCCTTAAGACTCAAATTTTGGCTCCTCCCCTACCCCATATTACTCACTAATTATCGTTAACTGGAAAACCGAATATCACTCCATAAGGCAGGGTCCAAACTAGAGTGGTTGAAAAGTTATAACATAGAAGATTAATAATATAAAAAAAAATATAAGAACCAAGTAGTACGATAGTAGGATTGCTCGTTAAAAGTTAACTACCTTGACGAAACAACACGTATAAGGTTCTTACAGCAGGGTTGAATTTCATAGCTAGTATAAGATGGAGTTAGAAGAATTATTAATTGAAGGTTGAATGTCAAAGCTGAGAAATCTCTTGGGTCTCATGCTTAAAAACAAAACAAAAAAACATTATGACCGTAGATGATTACATGACATCAACGTAATATATTTTAATTAAAAAAAATGTAAGTATAGATTTAATATGCCTTTTTAGTTTCTATTATGTATGTTTATCAATATAATTCTCTACTATTTCTTATATAAAATTTCCATATATTATCAAACATGTTATTTTGTTAAAATTTTCGTCCAAACAGCGTAGTTGCCGGTTTTTTTATATGAAAATTTTACTAGAATAGCATGTTGGGTAATGTTCTTAAAGTACACGAATATATATATTTTTTTTTTACGCTAGGCAACATGTTTAATAAAAATGTATGATAAATGAGCACATTATACATATTTTCTCAAAAATATTTTATTTTATAAAGTGAAAATGGTATCATCCGGCCAAGAGGCCGGTACCAAACTAGTTGATATAACGAGACAAAGGAATCAGTCCAAACAAAGCTTTAATTTGTTGGATAATAATTTTATGGAACCTGT